AGGCCAATACTTGGCTGCTGTTTGGCAATCAGCTAATGGCGGGTTTCTGCTCCGAACAGGAGGAGATGTTACAATTTTACGGTATTAACAGTGAAACAGCATCAAAAGAGTGATTCATTTTATAACGTACAGGGAACTTCCACAAGATCCTAATGGTCGGCACAAAAGATCAATATATCAATAATACCTTGTAATAATAGTTTGACTTCCTTACTTGTGGTTTTGATTGTTATTCCAATTTTATTTCAGGTTCAAAGTTCATAGCCTACAATTCCAGTCCAATGATTTACAACAACGTATTGATATACAGGGTCCTCACATAGGTAACTGGTTTGCAGTCGCATTTCTCAGTTGGACAGATCCCAATAATGATCGCATTGAGCAACAAGGTAATAAAATTAAAATTTTTTAAAATACTCTTTTTAATTACACTTAATTAATTAATAATTAATTACACTAAAATATGAAAAAGTGAACTTTTTCGGAATTTTTAGACATTTGTATGGTAATGATTTCCTTTACTATCTTCTCCTATAAGAAAGATGATTCTTGATAAAATTTTTTTCTCAAAGTCTGTCTAAAAAGTGTAAATGTGTCTAAAAGATAAAAAAAAACCAGATAAATCGTACGTTCGTACCAATGGAGAAAATTTATTGTTTATGTACTCGATAGAAACCTGTATTAAAATTATTTAAAAATAAATTAATCGCTTTAATCGCTTTGTAGTTTTATATGAATTTTTTTTTTTTTGTATATTTTTGTATATTTACTAGATTAAACCAAAGTCAATTTCTAATTCGCGTACGTTTTCTACCACATGTTTATTTCTATCATAATGAAAACTAAAACTTGATGAACTTCATGAAATGCTAGCGAATCGAAAAAAAAACGTTTTGAAAATTTTTGTTTTCTCTCTTTATGTAGATATATTATATGAAGCTATTGGGAATCTTTTTCAACCTGCTAATCATTAAAATCTATGCTCTTTGGAGTCCTCTTATTCTGTACATCAACTTTATCTTGAACCTTTTTCTAACGTTCATCCTGGTTCAAATCGAGTTAATAGTACTTTAGGTTTTAGGACTCATCGTTCTGTTTTCCCCATATTCTTGAATAAACGGCATCTATGTATCTAGGGTATTACTAAAATTGCATCGTTCTTTTTTTCCATTTTTTCAGGCCTCGCTGCCTCATGCGACTCATTGTTGCTGGCTGAGTTGTCTGTGACGCGCTTCCGCCCGATTAGCGTAAATAATGGTCAAGTACATAATGGCAATCTAACGAACTATGATATTGCTCAAGAAAGCGATGAGGACGAAAGACTTTCTCTGCACGGCACTCAAAATAAACTACAACAGCTAAGTATAAAAACCAAAAGAAATGCTCAACTTCAAAACTTCACTCACAATAACCCCACATCCGGGTCGAAGAGCGATGCCCACAAACTCCACGACAGTGGTAGAAGCAACGATGCAACAACCGGAAACAATGAAATTACTTACAAATTCTATGTGCCTGACAACGTTGGCGTTGCCACGGCTCGTATCTCATTCTTAAAAGTGTGCGTACATTGTCCAGACGTTGGTTTTTATGTCCAAGCAAATGCATACCCACAGAAAAATATTGAATACAGCGAGGACGAACAAAACAAGATCCATATTACGGTCATCCGTGCAAATCAGACGAGGGAGATCTCAATTCCGTTTTGTGTGCAGCCGAGCACATGGCACTATGCCAAGCTGAAATTTGTTGGCAAAGCGGAACAAGCTAAGTATGGGACAGAAACCAAAAAAGTACTGACTAAAGGTGATGAAGAAACCGATCTCTTTTTAGAAACAGAGCGTAGTTTGTTGAAAAAGCTCATAGATAATTTAAAATTGGATGTGCCGGAAAATGTATCGTATTCTATCAAAATTGATTTTCATCTCCCAGAGCCAATTAGCCTTTTAAAGGGGAAAAATATGCAAGGTGATAAAGATACTAATAGCTTTAACGCATGGAGTCCGACGCGCTTTCGTAACATGAACTTCTACTCACTGCTGCGGCAAACATATCGCGAGTTCTTTATGTTTGATTATGATCTCAAACCAGATGAAAATGGCACTGTACCTGCCGTCCTTAACTTAACGACAGAATCAGCTTCAGGATTCTCATTTGACCTCGGCGAAGTAAATGATATTGGGGGCACACTGACATTCGCCGTGTCTATGAAGCATGCTCTCCATACAGATACCGAACTAAAGTTGCTTCCCCCGAAACTTTCGCCAGCCTCTGAGCGTGGAGGCATACTAGCTGAAAAACTTATAAGCGATCCAATTGATACTGTACTGCCAAAATTCAATAATCACAGCATACAAATAATTGTTTGTATGCAATTGGGCGAACCCGGAGTTCCCACATGGCCGGATAAATGCCGCTACGGACAGCATCTGAGACACGCGTCTAAAATAGTGAACAACACGGATAGTGTTGGCCTAATTCATGTTCCCTTTCCTGAAAGTGGACGATGGTAAGTTTATACTTGATTACAATCATGAAACTTTTTTTTACAGTATACAATTTTGTGTCTAGGTATGTGACCATGGGACTCTACTGCCATGGAGCAGAAACGGCACGTGGTACAATAATCGATAATATCAAGGAGTTCGTTGTCCATCATAAAAACCTCCTGAAGGAAATGCGACCTCCGTGTCCCTGTGCTAGTGCTGCTAAAGAATACGATGCCTGTATAAAATCGCCAGATTGCTTAGCTGGAATGAATGAAACGGAGACATTCAAAGTGAAGGAATGTTTGATGGACTATCAATGCACTTCCAACTACGACATGACACGGCTATTCAAAATACACCAAAAAACTGCGATGGAGGAACATATTGAAGTCAATAACTGTAACACTTCAGTGGTGTTTTCCGTGTCATCAAGCCCTTGTGTGGGAGGACGTTGCGGTCACTTTGGTCGCTGTTATCACTATATGTCCGGTGGCTTTGTTTTTTCCACATGCGTATGCATGAAGGGATATCGGGGTTGGGACTGTACCGAAGATTCCCAGGTTCCTACAAATATGTCCATCTTACTTGCATCCTTGTTACTAACTTTAAGTAACTTAATCTTCGTTCCGAGCATTTACGTCGCTCTAAGTCGCCGCTACTTTACAGAAGGCATAATTTATTTTTTTGCAATGTTTTTTTCGACTTTCTATCATGCCTGCGATTCGGGCGAAGATGAGTATAGTTTTTGTCTGGTAAAAATTGGTGTTTTGCAATTTTGCGATTTCTATTGTGGACTTTTGGCTATCTGGGTAACACTTGTAGCTATGGCCGACGTCCGACAACAGTTTGCGTCTCCTTTACATATGTTTGGTGCTATTCTGCTAGCATTCGGAACAGAGCTTAATAAACAGAGCCTTTGGGTGTTCCTCGCACCAGCCTTGACAGGAATCTGCCTAATTTCGACCAGCTGGGGCTTTCGCTGTGCCAAAACTCGCAAAATGTTCCCGTCTCGCCGCTACTTGACAGTTTGGCTGCCTTTTGGGATTTGCCTTGTTTGTGTAGGCTTGGTGTGTTATGCTTTTCTGCAAACAAAGCAAAATTATCACATTGTTCACTCAATCTGGCATATAGTTATGGCATTAAGCATTTTATGTTTACTACCTTCACGAAGTACGGCGAAATGCTAGAATTTGTAGACTACCTGGATAGACTAAGGAATTATGTTTAAATGTAACTGTTGATGTTAAATACAAAAAAATATCCCATTGAAAGACGCATTCTTATTATTTAATAATATAACATTTTGTCGTGATGAATATGGCTTTTTACCATTAACGCTGAACGCTTTCTGGCGTAAGTATTTTTTGATTATTCTTCTTATTATTATTCGTCTTCAATCCACTTCTTTACCACTCTAGCAGTATGGATTGGGGCATTGTCTTGCTGAAAAGTCCAGTTTGATGTCTCTAAGATGTTGGAAAAGTGGGGAAATGACATTTGGAGTAGCTCTTTGCATTCATCTTATACGAAACAAACTGGATTTCATATGTTCCATAAGAGATGGCACCCCACACCATTGTACCCCCCTCACGACTATGGTGACGGATCAAATAATGTTCTTTCTTTGTTAAATCATGAAATTAATAATTAAACCCATCTAGTCCACCCAAATTAAAGCGTTTATCATTAGATAAAACGGTTCGGTATCAGTCGGGGTTCCCTGCAATATGATCCTGAGAAAAAAGAGAGCGAGCTTTTTTACGAACGTCAGTGAGTGGTGGTCTTTTTTTATTTTGAATCTCTTTAGATGTTTTTCATTTCGTATCACTAGCTCGCTATACAAAATATCATCGAATTTCAACCGCACAGCACATTGGGTGTGAGGATTCTCGCAGAATTCTTCGATTTTGCCAAGGCGCGAATGCTTTTCTGTTTGGAGCATTCATATTATTCATATTTCCATAAATTTATGGATTTCTTAAGAAATGAGACAACAGACTAGCCTTTTAAACATTTTGTTTGGCTATCTGCCTGGTTGTAAGGTGTTGCTGTCTCGATATGCCAATATTTGAGATTTTTCCACGACCCCAGTTTTACCACGACCCATTCTATATTAAAAAAAACTTGAAAAGTGCAAGAGGTGTATAAATGCACCTTTTACCGTGTACAGCTTATCAGTAACTGAAACCGCAGCCTCTGAATCTATTCGAATGATCGCCAAAAAAGCTAATTTTTCGGCATAGGGAAAGGCAAATTTCTGCAGCCCACTCTTAATCCCCAATTTTGTCAACTATACTGCTCTAACAGCAACAAAATTTCGTCGAAAGCTTATTTCACAAATGATAGAATCAAAGTGTAAAACCAAAAATGCATTGAGTCTATTCTACTGATCGGTAGTGTACGTACATGAATGAATTTTAAAGATTCAGAAAAATGTGGTACGCTAACTTTGAATTTTATAAGATTACATCACTTTTGAATACTCTATAATAGATATAAAAAAGCTTAAGCTCCATATAAAAATAAATCATTTTATTTTACACTTCCCGAGCCATATCGAATTTCACGTTCAAATTGCTCTGCTTTCAGTGTACCGTCTATACTCTCAAAATTTTTGTTAAAAACACTGTATGCGCTAATTTCATTTTGTTTTTTTGGGCCCGTTCGCGTATTAAAATAAATACCAAACAGTGCGGAAAACATAAGATAAACCAATCCAAACTTCAGTTCAATGGCTATTACATAGAGAGTTATCCAAAAAAGAAGATATACAGTCCAAAGAGTATACTTGAGTACGTTCCCCCCTGAATGGTCTTCGGTTTCGGGCATAATGCTGCTTTCTTCCACAAATTCGTTCGCACTGGAGGACAAAGAGCCATCGTGCGAGTTTTCTTCGAAAAGTTCGGGATGGTTTTTTGAAGGCTAAAAAAAATGTGTATGAAATTAACAGAAAACCTTACTTGAAGGCAAATTTTATATTTTTCTGCATATGTACATATGTATGTACGTATGCACTTTCATACGTATGCAATTTCATTCGTAAACGGTACCTGTTGCAAATCGATTGTAGTTTCTTTAGGAGAACCAGTGCCAAACATTAAAAATCTGTAAAATTTTTCTTTTAAATTTTCAATTGTTTTTTTCCTTCGCTTTTTAAGGCGATATTGTTTTAACTGTTCTTGAAAATCAGCCATTGTATTATTAATATAAAAATTATGGTAATACTAATTCCGGTTAAAATACTAAAATACTTGTTACTTGTCCGTATTTTAGTATTTTAAGGGGGAACAGTACTATAGACTGTGCATACAGAGCACATCCCGAGGGAACGGTGGGATTATGGGACGTGAAACGCCGATTCACATTCCGTCAAAAAAACAGCTGATGAGCATTAAATGAATAAATGTTAGTCTGAATTGTGTAATTTTCACAATTTTAATTTAGTAAATTGGCAATATTATTGACTCTATTAAAACAATCCATACAATAAAAGTTACTCTTTGGACTCCCTTAAACATTGCAGCAGCTCTGTTTGGAAAGTGGTTTGGCCAAGGGTGCTCGCAATTTGCTGAAGTATCTCTCGCTTTGTTTCCTGGTGCTCCTGTTATTTCTGCTGCTTCTCCTGAATTTCAAGCTTTTTCCGAACAATCTCCTCCAGATTGGAGGATGGATTGCATGTCCATTTCGATTTGCGTGTATTGTTTGTTTATTTAATGGCCGCAAAATAAATTGTTGCTTTGTTGGTCAATTCCTCTACGTCTATCGACTATGTATGTATGTATGCGCGTTAATCTCCGTTCTAGTTGCCTTTGTTGATTTCGATGTTATATGTGTATCTGAGACGTGGTTTAACTCTGATTTATGTGATTTGTCAATTGTGTGTGATGGTTATGTTGTTTTTCGTTCGGATCGTATTGGACATGCAGGTGGCATTGCTATAAATGTGAATACGAAATTAAAATGTAATGTTAAATGTACACAGCCTAGTGAATGTACTATTGAATATTTCTTCTTGGAAATCGCAAGCAAAATGAACAATAAATATTTATTAGGCTGTATTTATAGGCCCAATTGTACAATCGATTATGAGCAACTTTTAACTATTATCTCGAAAATTTCGGTTTCATACACTGACATTATACTTGCAGGTGATCTCAATAGCAATATCTTGGAAGAGGGTAATCTATTAGATAACTTTGCCTCCCTGTGATACACTTCTTGACATTTTCTTCACTAATGAATCTAGCAAGACTCAACTATATGACCAGGTAGACCTGCTAAGAGTGATTACTATAAATCTAAGTTCCAAAACTACTGTACCATTAAGCAAAGATAGAATGAAATGAATAGTATAGGAATAGGCAAATGTAAACAGATGACTGAGCTTGATATAAATAACAAAAAGTTATCGATAATTGATGTACCTGAAGCGATAAGTAGCACGTACCGGAATCGCATTCCACGGCCGCATGCTCTGATCAACCCATGACGGTCTAGGAAAGGGTTCATTTTCAGGATAGAATTTGAACTTGACCTTGGCATTGGACGCTTACCACTTAGGCAGCGATACTCCTCAGGGTATTCTTTACGCTGCCTTTCTAGGATAACAGTTTGTTTAGCTTTAGCCACTCGTAAGATGACCCTCTTGCGCAGTGTCTAACTTCCAGTGTCTAACTCGTAGAGCTCTCTCCAGACTACAGAATCGTTCGAGGAAGTCTTCGGCTGGGTTGAGAGCGAAATGGACCTTTACAGCACGCTGCTCTGAGGTCATAACGGGGGAATTACTAACTGGTGCGGGCCATTGATCTCGGCTCCTCTGCAGCCAAGTTAGGACAAAAGCACTGCAGCGCTGGCAGATCTCGCTTGGAAGCTCACAGTCCCATCCCAGGTCCTGCAACTAGATTTCTTGCATGAAGATCTTGGAATGGACAATTAATGGGGCCATCCCCCCCTCGGGGTCGAACAGCTTTCCGATCTGGGACAGAGCTGTTCGCATGGTGTATGACGACTCAGGCGCTCGAGTTAGCGAGAGAAAAATAACTCGTATGAAGTCGCTTTGCAGCGAATCGCGAAAGTTTAGCCGTGCTATCTTCGTCAATCTCAAGTAAATCATTGTGGAGAAGATGCGCACTCGGTATTCCTGCCAGAATAGTCCATTTTGAGGTCCATTTTCTCAGCGGAAAACTTGCAGAGCTAAGTGCAGCCTCGTGGATCGCTTGTCGAGCCTCATCGGTAGAATCCGCTCCGACTAGGACATCGTCGACATACATGAATGATCGGATAATGTGAATTTCTTTCGGAAATCTGGACTGGACTTCGCCATGTCCTCCCTTGGGAACGAAATGGGTTTGAGATTTCCCTTTGACTTGTCTGACGAGGGTATGCTCGCCATGGAGTGGGCCTGAGCCTCCATGCCTGGATGGCCGTTCTCGGTCACCTCGAGAGACAGGTACCGCTCCGACAGGAACTTGTCCATATCGTGCCAGGTATGAATTTACGACTTGTGTGTCACATATTGCTCCCAGAGCTCCAAAGTCGTTTTCGGCAACTTCGCGGAAATGAGGTACACTAACACTCCGTCAGCGAAAACTCTGTCTGTCGAGAACTCGGAATGGTTGAGTGTCGTAACGCACTTGTGGACGGCCCTCTAAAGCTCTTTTAGCGCTGCTGCTGACTCAGTGCGGATTTGGGGCAGACTTAAAAGTATCTTCAGCTGGGCTTTGAGTATCAGCCTCTTGTTCTGGAAACGCTCACGTTGGGCGTTCCATGCGGTCGCTTTTTTTTATTGAGGTGGAGCAGATTTTTCTTGGCTCCAGTGGCCAACCTTGGGTTCTCTATATATATGGCAGTGAACAGGTCTCGGAACGTGGGCTACTGCTGGTATTCCCGACTGAAAACTCCAGTGTCACCTGGAGGAAGGCGGCAACCACCGGAAGTCGGCACTTGAATGGCGAGCTGAGGCGTGTGAGGGACAGTCTGGGGCATTGCACATAGACCGCGTAGCAGTCATCGTACATCCCTTGGACGTCAGCTATCCCCTCTGGATCCGCTTCCGATATCGTCCCCTCACAGGTCTCGAACTCCGCGTCCACTTTCGCCCACAGACTTCGGAGTTGATTTCGATGGACTTGGGAGAGCAAGCGGGTTGGTGTACCAGCATCTGGAGCGCTGAGCTTCTGGTCGAAGTGTGTCAGTCTGCTTGCAGCCAAGGCAAACTACGACCGTACGGAACTGGCGGCCGATTGGGCCATAGTGCTAGGAACCGTGCGAGGGACTACCGAGGGGAGCAATAAAGCCTCGAAGGCATGTGGTGTGTGAGCCCGGGACGTGGACGGACCTTGCTCAGCTGGGGCCTCAGCGAACTCACCCCCTTAAACTTCTTGCGAGAATACTTCTCACCAGTGGGCATGTTTGGCTGATCGATTTGCGATAAGCGTAGTAGAGTCGCAAAGAAGGTGAGCGGAAATAGAGCAGTGAAAGTTCTAAACGACGAACCGTGGATATGTGGTCTTGGTGGAATTTATTGCGGGTATCTATATTATAGAAATTGTACACCGTGGACGGAAATAAAATATATATCAAAAAATGTCCAACCAAGAACGAACCAAGAATAATGAGGATGAGCAATAATATCGGGGCACGAGGTACCACTATATGGAGTCGGATGCAAAACGACCGTTCAAAACAATATACCCTCAAAAGGCAGGGTAGCGCGAAAAATATTCTCCCACCAACACTAACGCAAGCCAGCGGTGGAGAAGCGAAAGCGAAAAGAAAAACGAAAAGAATGACGAAATTTAAACAACGGATAAAAACGGAGTATAGATGTTTTATATATGCTACTTTAAAAACAAAATGCGTACGTAAATAAAGATGTGCCGTACGTATGGAATCGTGTTAGTTTATATATGTAGTTTATACAGGGGTGGTCAAAAGTATTTACACAACGAGTTTTTTTTAGCAAGTTCAAGTTTAGGAGTTGTTTTTGTTGTTGTTGAAATCAAAATACAAAAAAAAGCTTTACGGGCAAAAAGCTTGATCTACTAGGAATTGGTTGAAAGAAGAATTGGAAAAATAACTGTTAATGGGCTAAAAATAGAAGCATGTGAACTGTTGTCAAAAGTATTTACACAAATTTGCATTGCTTCAGAAGTATTTACACAATGCAAATTAGAGCTTATTCTTAGACTTGGTTTGACTTAGTGCAGTCGTTTTTTCGTTTATTGCAGTTGCAATAAGTAAATTTAATTTAAAATTTAAAATTAACTTAGTAAAATGGTGAAGACAAAGGAGTTGTCTGTTGAAACTCGATCCGAGATCGTTACAAAATCTAAAAGCGGGGTTTCAGCGTCGGAACTGGCCAAAACTTACAAAATTTGTAGAAAAACCGTTTATAATCTGGAAAAGAAAAAGGACACGAATGGAAATTTACAGAATTTAAAAAGAAGTGGAAGGAAACAAGCGATGGATGAACGGGAATGTAGACGTTTAATTGGCATAGTCGATAAAAATCCGTCGATAAGCCCAGTTAAATTGTCTGCAGATTCGCAACAATTGATTGGCAAAAAAGTCTGTGATGCTACAATACGTCGGAGATTGAAGGAGATCGACATACGAACGTATACAGTGCGAAAAATAATAGAAATTTCCGAGGCAAATAAAGCAAAACGCCTCTCATTCGCATTGGAATACGTTAAAAAACCAAAGGAGTTTTGGTACAATGTTTTATGGACAGATGAAGTAGCTTTCCAGTTCCAAGGCTCATTCTGTAAAAGATTTATGCATCTACGACAAGCAAAAAAACAAAGTGCAGTGCAACCATTAAACAGATTTGGTGGAGGCACAGTGATGTTCTGGGGGTGCATGTCTTACTACGGATTTGGAGACTTTGTTCCAATAGAAGGCACTCTGAATCAGACCCGGTATCTTGTTATACTGAATGAACATGCTTTTGTGTCTGGTGACAGGCTATTTCCCATCTCCGACTGGATTTTACAGCAAGACAATGCTCCATGCCACAAGGGATCGGCACCTACAAAATTTTTACGAGATCTCAATGTGGCTGTTCTTCCCTGGCCTGCGCAGAGCCCTGATCTCAATATCATAGAAAATGTTTGGTCGCTTATTAAAGGACAAAGAACAATTGATAAAAACCGAAAACGCGACGTTACCATCGAGGAAGTAAAGGAAATTTGGTCGAAATTGGAACTTGGATATGCTCGCCACTTAGTGGAATCAGTACCAGCCAGGTTGCAAGCAGTTATTGATGCCAAAGGTGGAATTACAAAATATTAATCATTATTATTATTATTCATCCAACAAATTAAAAAAAAAATCATTAAATCATAATAAAAAATTAACTTAAAGTTTTGTGTAAATACTTCTGCAGCATTAAAAATGTGTGTAAATAATTTTGACAACTGATAAGCATCACTTAATTTGCTTCTCCTTATTCGTACAAACAGTTATCTTTTCCAATTCTTCTCTCATTCAATTGCTAGTAGATCAATCTTTTTGGCCTAAAAGTTTTTTTTTTTATTTAGCTTTCAACAACCACAGGAAAAGCTCCTGAAATTGAACATGCAAAAAAAAACTCGTTGTGTAAATACTTTTGACCACCCCTGTATATGTTAGTTATATATGTACGTGGACTGTGGATCGACTCCCTCTCCTCTATTACCGAAATTACCAATCCCAATAATCACTCCTCCTACGCCTCCTCAATCAGAAATCTTATTACCAAACACGTCCTCAAGATCGTTCTAATCCTAGTAACATAGGTGTAAAACAAAAACAAAACAAAATCCTGGTACCAACAAATGAGCAAACTCTCTTTAACTAATCCTCCCCACAAACACTAGCCTAAATAAAATACACCAAGTCAACATAAATAGACTGAGACTTGGCCACACCAATCTCTCCAGTGCCCACTAGTGGAGAGTGAAGTTTAAAAAAAGCTTCAGCAGGGTAACTAACTGCAATAAAAGCCAGTCTTAAAGTAATTCTTGGTTTTGCATAATTTTTGAACGTTTAACTGTATTTAATTATTTTCGATTTCTTTAATCTATTATACTGAGATAGGGGCTTGACTTTTTCATTATATTTTTTAGTTTTTTCGTACGAATGTCACGTCATGCCAAATTGGAAATGGCCATTTAAAAGATTGACATTTGTGCAATATGTACATACATACATATGTACTATGCATACTAGAGGTCTGCATGAATGGCACAAAACGGGATTTGAATTAACAATGCGCATAATGAATTGAGTGAATTCGAATGCTATGGCGCAAGAGTTTGAGTGAGTGTATGCTCTGATATATGCACATATGTATATATGTATAGATAGCTCAAACACACAACACAAACGAAGCTGTGCGAATTTCATTCGAATGCATTCTATTTTTCTCCTGTAGATTTAGGCAGCAATAGATTAAAGTATTGGTATAACATGTTAGCAATAGCTTTTCAATTTTTGTTTCTTTGGTATGTGTAAGGAAAAGAAGAACGAAAAGTCCTTGCAATAGAAGAGTACACATAATGCGCAAAATTCGGTTAATTTGAATGTCTTCGGCTATTCCGTGTAACTTACATATTTCGTTTTGCTTAACCTTTTCTTCTAAGTCATACATCTGTATAAACTTCATTCATTGTGTGCTTCACACTTCCGTAACTATAATTAATTTGAAGGCATTCTATTGAAATTTACAGATGTCTAAATCCTATTGCCTAAGCTCTTCATTATGGGATGGGAAACATCTACATATATCTACACAAATTAAACGGATGATCCCAGAGCGAATGGTTGTTGTGGCTGACAACAAACTTCGTAATCTTAATTGAACTTGATCTTGGTTTTTTCTGCTTTCTTCTGTATAACAATTGAATGTGTTTATATTAAAATATTTTACTTTGATCTCAAAACGGGTTTGCCCCACTCAAGTTGCTCTTGACTTCAGACTACAATGCATAAAAGATGGTGTTGCAATTGCGCAATGACCAGTCAACAAGATTGCTTGGTATGCCACGATGCAAAACTCGTTAGAGAATAATTCCCAGGCTGTAAATTTGTGGGACTATGACGTGATATTAGAGAAAATCGGTAAGGTATTCAGTTACGATTTGGCCCGACTTGTCACTTGGTTTGTAACTAGACTAAATTTTCGATTCCGTTCCCAGGTTATGGTAAAACTCAATGGATACTTTTAATTATTAGTGGGTTACTGACGATTACGTCTGTGGCTGCTCAACAATCCATGAGTATTATAGTAATCGCATCGCAATGTGAATTTAAATCAACTCAAGCTGAAAAAGGTCTGATAATGGCTTCGTGTGTTGCTGGTGAGTCGAAATCAACTAGAATTTGCACACGTAAAGGAACATTTTTCTAAACATACAGGATTGTTTTTCTCGACCTATATATGGGGATACATCAGCGACGACGTTGGGCGTCGGAAAGTGTTACTATGCGGTGTGTTCGCCAGCAATATATTACAATTCGTTCTTATGTTCGTTACAAACATTTGGATGTTTAATTTAATTAACTTACTTGTTGGTATAAGGTAAGTGCGAATTTAAACAAGGAACAAATTTAGTCGATACACCAACGATAACATACCGATTGGCGTTATAAAGGAATTCTCTTAAACTCAGGGTCTCAGGGTAACATATGTAAATTCTGTGTTAATCATTACAGTTTCCGTTTTACCACTAACCATACAACTATATTCATACAACGAACATGTCGCACAGCGAACACAGCAAACTAAATCCTAGGGTCTTCGGCTCTGGCGTTCGGCTACCCCAGTGTCATCATCATGAGCCAGACCGCAAATGATCTGCTTTCATGTTTTTTCAAAAAAAGATTGTATGCTCCTTTCTTTTTTAATGTTCTGTTGTTTTCTGTTGTGCCTATTTGCGTATTTCAATGTATGGGTGTACATGTAGTATGTAATGTGATATTGCGGCCGCTAGAACCAAAATTTGAGAAAGGTTTTTGTTTGAATTTTGAGCTTATTGATGAACATACCTGACCTCCAAAAATTGGGGTGGGGACACTATGGGAAATAAAATAAATATGTATACATGTATATTAATTATGTTTAGTTAAGAAATTCCTCAGAAGCGTTAACTAGCTAAGTGATATAGAAACGTTCGGGCTCGTTATCGAACTCGGTAGCGGTGGCTGGCCGAATATTATGAATAAGAATTAGTGATCAACGGCGAGCGATACGCTGCGCTTTATTCAGATTCAAACTTAAGACTGATCATTTATAAAATTAAAAGCTATGATTACAGTCGTTGGTGGTTAACTTATATATGTCTGTATATGCAGAAGGCATACATTGGACATATACGTAAGGCATCCAGTAAGTGCAGACACAGCAGTTCTCACGTGTCTTCTAATGGTCGGTCCACTTATAAGTCAATTCGTGTTTATATGACTGCGTTACGTTTATATCAATAAAAAGTGTTACAATGAACGTATGTAGAATACATGAGCGATGTGAAAAACATAGAGAAAAAGAGATAGAGGAGTTACGACCCTTATGTTCTTGCACTTAATTTATCTAACTTCTATTTGATTGATCTAGCTCTTATAATCTCTGAGGAATATGCGTCAAACACAAACGACAAACAGAAAGACGCACGGAAAGACAGACATATATTGACTCGGCTATTGATTGATCATAAGTTTATATACTTTATGGGGTCGGAAAAGCTTTCGCAATTGTTCCATTGGCCAGCCCGACGCCTTCCTTAGCCAAAATGTCCGTATCCCTCGTATCCTTAAATGCTTTGGTGGCTGGGAAACCACTATATCCCAGATATCCCATACTTCCCAGATAGTTGTGTTTATCAGCTTTTCAGAATTGCAAGCTTCAATACAACCAGAAGTTAAACTATGTGAAAAGAGAAGCACTGCCTCCTAAAAAATCATAGTAAAACAATAATATTTTTTTTTTTTAATTTAAAACAAAAATTTTGCTGTTGTACAAAAACTATAATTTATAAAAGAAATGTTAAAATCTATGAGAAAAAGTCGGTTCAGCTGGAAGCGTAAAAATGCTGTTAAATAATCCATCAAATTCTCATAGAGTCTGTCTCCATTTACATTATACAATTCACATTTATTGGTCATATTTAATTAACATGGTTTAAAGCTATTTTTTGTTTGTTTAATGTCTTTTGCATATAGCATTGGTGGTGTGTCAGCTGCGCTGTATGCCTATTTAAGTGAATTCAATACACCCAAACATCGAGCAGTTGCTATTAATTATTCCACAATGTTCGTCAGTGTGACTGCAATATATGTTCCAGGTAAGAATTACGAGAAAAAATGGATAGCTGATACTTTTTCAGATATTTCTAATAAGTTTATCTAAAAATAACTGTTTATATGTATGCTCTATGCTATATTATGTTCTCTTAGCGATTCCGCTGTGAAGAAGTCTGTGAGAAGTTTCAGACAGATAGCTTAAAAAACTGTCAACTAGACTAGTTTGAGTTTATATGATACTTTTACCTACAGCAACAATTTTTATATTTTATTATTTTGTCTAATTTGACTTGGAACTTTAGTGACTGCTTGGATGGTACTGTCGGCTAACTGGTCGATCAGCATAGGCGATTTTGTTTTTCGGCCATGGCGTTTAATTATGTTGATAAGTCTTCTTCCCGGATTAATTGGCGGCTTGATACTATTACGCTTTCCAGAAAGCCCGAAGCTTTTATTATCACAAAATAAAATCAACGAAGCTATACAAGCTGTTGCTTGGATTTGTAAGTTTAATCGAGGCAAACCTATCCAGGACTTACTAAATTGTGACGACTTTATGCTCAAGTCGGAAGTTAACTCTGAGGAGAATTCGATGGATAATATCCCCAGATGTATATTATCAAAAATTGCACGTGCAACCGTCCCTCTTTTTCATAAGCCACACGGATTCTACTTTATAATTAGCAATTTGGCAGTATTTGGGATGTTTTTCAGGTAAAGCGAAAATCGAAAATAACATTTGTAAACTAACCATCTATAGTACATAAAATATTAATAAGACATCTACTTGAATTATTAAAACATAAATAGTGCATTACCGTTCATTATGACGTACAATATTTCTTTGCAGCTCAAATGGTATGCAATTTTGGTTTCCAGAAATCGTAAACCGGTCATCTGAGGCCTTCAATGATTCATCTACCGTTTGCGAAATATTAAGCGAGTATGACACAAAAGCAGAAAATTCCACACTGGTACATATCCTTATTCTTCTCATTAAATTATGGGAATTACATTTTTTAAATTACATATTATCTTATTAATTTAGGCCTGCTCAGATCATATATCAAGCAAAACTTATATAGACAACATAATTGTTGGAGTCGCCTTTTTAATTGGATTTTCGATTCAAGGCACTCTGATTAACCCTTTGGGTCGTAAAAACGTACTACTAGTTGCGCTCATAATTGCAACGTTTTCTGGTATTTGTCTGCACTTTTTTGGAAATCGTACGGCAGTACTAGTTTTATTTTGCCTCTATATACTTCTGCCGGGACTTTCGATTTCCATCATGCTCGGTGCAATAGTTGATCTGGTCCCAACGCATTTACGGTAAACACCTCATTCGAATGTACATTTACCTTTAAAAATACAACAAATCCAAAAGAATTTATGCATATTTTTAATGTATTTTACAAATTGTAGGGGAAAAGCTGTTAGCTTTTGCATGTCCTTAGGACGACTTGGAATCATCGCAGCTACCAACTTAATGGGACTTACATTACAGCCATACTGTAATATAACTTTTGCTATTTGTACTTTTGTTCTCTTTGGTAATTTATTTAATAATGAATAGTATACAAATATTAACAATGTTTTTATTTCAGTGTGTGTCGTACTCGTTTATATCATACCAATTCGGAGATCTACTTAGTAAGGGACAGTACCGAAAAATGTACAAGCTACATATATCTACCACTAGTTCCATTTCACTTCTTTAAGTACTAATACTAACATACGTTTCCCTTTCCTTAGCTTTTGTAGCTCTAATTTTAATCGATCATTCCCTCAGCTCGACATAACTTCAAATCAATTTTCCTCTATGAAGCAGTCGAGGTACATATTTAGAGTTACACATTGCCGATTCTTTTAAATTCGATTCGGCTTTAAGAAGAAGACGATGTTTTTCAGAGCTGAGTTTAAATTCTCAGTAATAGCTTGAGAGTGATATACCAACATTGAAAATTCCCGAATTCTTCTGAATCCTGACAATCCAATGAATGCAGCTATCAATCGGTACAAAGAAATATGTGGCGTAATCTTACTCTCTGGAAAATATGAAGCTTTCAAATGTATCTTACCATTTGCTTCAGTTTTGCACGTTTAGCTTTACAAGTTTGTTTTGAGGCCTGGATTCATCGCAGTCTCCTCAACAGTTGAAGATGTAACCCGATGAGTTCCGCAATTTCATTTAGTTTTCGACCGAAAATGTAAAGAAGAAACGATAACCTTTCTGATTGAGAACTTTGAGAACTTATTTGAGAACTTTACTGGAATTGGCACTAAACTTGCCAAGGTTTTCGATTTCACCCATTCGGATGACCATACCATAATAAACCAAGCAATGTATCTTATGTATTTGTCCTTAGCTAAAACGAATGCTTATTGAAATAAGAAGCCTGGTTCAGCAGTATCGATAGATCTTCACTAATCACTTTTCAGCAGTAAGCTAAAGTGTAAAGACTGTGGTGTAAAGAACATCCATTTAGTCCGGAACAATTACTTGCTGACAGAAAAGGGAGGAAGAAAGGGGAAATTTAAAACATCCACAAATTAAAATTTTTATCATATTTATTTTAATAGTTTTTGAAATTAAAATAACAGATGTGTTATTACTCAAAAACTATTCGTCTTCGTCATATTCGTCATCATAGCTATCCCCGCCTGCCTGACCAACAGTGTCATCAAACGTAGCGCTCAATTCTATGGTTGCTTCGTTTGGTGTGGTTGGTTCTTCAATAAGTGGTTCGTTGGTTTCCCCCTCAACTTTTTGAATGGCTTGAAGCTCCAGAGCTGCAATTTCAGCTTCTTGGCGACCTATCTCTGCCAGCTCCGCGGCCTGCCGTGCGAGATCACCCTCGCTCTCCTCTTCAGCTTGCTTTTCAATTTCCGCTAAGCGGTTAAGTTCATGCTCTCGTGAACGTTGTTCTTCTTCCAAAAGTGCTTCTTTAGCTAACCGCTCATCCTCTGCAATACGTGCTTCTTCTTCTTCGGCAGCCCTTTGGGCTGCTTCTTCTGCAGCCTTTTGGGCTGCTTCTTCTTCAGCTTTTTGGGCTGCTTCTTCCGCAGCCCTTTGGGCTGCTTCTTCCGCAGCTTTTTGGGCTGCTTCTTCCGCAGCCTTTTGGGCTGCGGCGTTTTCTGCAGCTTTTTGGGCTTCTTCTTCCGCAGCCTTTTGGGCTGCTTCTTCCGCAGCCTTTTGGGCTGCTTCTTCCGCAGCCTTTTGGGCGGCGTTTTCTGCAGCCTTTTGGGCTTCTTCCGCAGCCCTTTGGGCTGCTTCTTCCGCAGCCCTTTGGGCTGCTTCTTCCGCAGCCTTTTGGGCTGCTTCTTCCTCAGCTTTTTGGGCTGCTTCTTCCGCAGCCTTTTGGGATGCTTCTTCAGCTTCTCTGACTAAGCGAGCATCTGCCTCCATCTTGGCTTTGATATTTCGTTTCTCGGCTTCGGCAGCTAAACGTTTCTTTTCCTCCCTAAGAATTCTAAGGCGTAAAATATAATAAATTTATGGATACAAATAATTCAGATTGTCACTTCTCACTTCTCTTCGCTTGCATTTTGAGCGCGCTTTTTCTCAGCTTCCACTTCATCCAAGGCATCTTCGTTTACTGTTAGGAGTCGTTCTTGGCGCAGACGCTGCTTCTCTTTCGACTCTAGATCGACGGGATCCTCCAAAGGCCTAGGAGCAGAAAATTTTCTAGATGGACGATTGGGATCTAAATCGGCATCTGCAAATAAGCCTTGTCGTTAATATTTTGAAAAAATTAAATGGATCATTTATATTTAAATTTATATATTAATTAAATATTAGTTTGACCAAATTTTTGTTTTACTCAGTAATTTACATAATAATGTATCACTAATACTTACTAATCCAAATGAATTGTATTGTTGACCTTAGGCGAGGCACGGTAAAATTGCAGATAGAGTAGACGCCAATGATTTTTAGGGTAATTATATGGCATTAATGAGAATACAAAAAAAAAAACAGGATGTGTACAATTTAGACAAAATGGTATTAATGTGTTAAGCAAAAATGTATATGGGTGTATGTATATACATTTAAAAGTATAGATTATTATAGACTTCAAGGCGGGTTCTACATTTGCCATTTATTCAGGCCTTACACATGTACATATGTATGTATGTATGTATGCATTCAAATATAATATAACGTTAAGGGTACCGAAAACAGCGGCAGGAAACACAAATTCGATCAATTGATATGTTCAATCGAATCTATATAATTTTTCAATTAGTTGTTTTGCTGATCTAATTCGATTGTTTGGAGGAAAATGGTACTTCCTCCGCCCAGCAAATTGACACTCAGTCGTACACTTAAAATCCGAATATATTTTGTTTGGAAAAGCCTCGTAATGACCTTACCACTCATATGTTAACCAACACCAATCCAATTGTAAGCTACAATTACGTAAATGAAAATAACACTGATAAATTTAATGCTTTTTATAATAATTGCAGGGCTTCAAGTTAAAATCCTTTTATCTCAATTATTCGGCACCTGCAGCTATCATTCAACATTTTTATATAGTTTAAAGTTTAGCTTTTTGGAGAAATTAAGTTCTGAGATTAATTTTTTGTTGGAAGTAAACTAAAATTTTCGTTAAAAAACATATGTATGTATTTAGATGTGTGTCTGTTTGTATGTTTTCCTTTTTTTTTATAAATTTAAATCCTATATTGTGTTTTTTTTTTTAAATTTGTTTAAATTGGTATGTAAGGTTTTATCTTTATTTGTATGCATTTTTGTTTTGACAAATCAAATGAAAAATAAAAATAGGTCAACTTTAAAATAGTACGCATGAAAAATGTTAGTATCACAAATGATGCTATGACGTTGTTTATAATGTTTGAATATTTATTAATCTTCTCTAATCTGGCTTGTATAAATTAGTATGAGTAGTGAAAGCGCCAGAGTTTGCCAAGATCATTTGTTCATCTTGTACGATATTGGCTGATTTTCTACCACGCAAAAGAAAGTCTTTTACATATTTTTATTTAAATAATAGAAGTGTTTGTCCATACAAAAAATCAGGCATGTTATCATTTAGGCCTCAACTTCAACAGCTTCAACTGGAAAGAATCAATCAATCATAAAACATATAAAGTTAGTGAAGTACAATGAACGTAACAAATCAAAATGCAGCAATCAAATGTGTGTGTTAGTTACAAGTGAGCAAAAAAGGTCTCCTTGGAATTTGATTTTGATATTGAACGTACAGAAAGAAGTACCTAGAACCCTATAAAGCAAATTATGTATTAAAAACCAAATGAACAGCTGAGTCCATAGAGCCATGTCCCGCCTACCCGCACGTATGTCTGTAGATATCATATACAGCCAATTGAAGGAAAAAAAGTTTGGTAAGATAAACGACTTTGTTTCGGACGATAACCAACCGTTAAGAAATACAGTTTCATATTTCGATGAAGATAGCTAAGATACAAATGTAGATTGATCTTTGGCAAAATAAGAATCAAGAACATGTTATTAATGCTGATTAACATATGCTCTAGTAGCTCCAACCTTTTTTTTCGGAATTTTTAATTCATCAAACCGAATGTAATATAGTACATCCTTTGTACTTATTATACATATGTACATATATGGGAAAATTCAGTCCGACCTGACAAATTCTGACATTAGATGGGAATTAGATTCGGTCTAATGCTTACAAATACAAAACAGTGTACTAAATTATTACTTTTGCTAAATTGATTTTTGCGGAGCTAAATATCTTTTTAGGCGTATGTATTTAATTAAGTGAACAATGATCATTTGCAGTATCATAGTATACATATAAGCAAGGTTGCTATATATACAGGTGTCATATTCAAGCGGCATGTTATTGGATATAACAGTACTTACCTTCTTTCTGAGAAGCAAGAGATTGCTTATCATTCTTCCAAGTCGGATGTCTAAGGTACCAGGACAAGAGGTTAATATCATTTCGAACTTTGTCTGAATCGTACATTGGCCTTCTAACATTATAGGCCTTGTCACCACAAATCCTTACTGATGCAAGATGACTTTTACCTTTTTTTTTTAATTATTTAAATAATAAATAATAATACAATATCTAACCAACATTTTTAAAGTTTATAAAGTATAAAGTACATATGTATGTATCATAGACAAAAAAAACTTACCAACGTATTTTACCGCTGGCCTTGGATAGTGCGATATATTGTGCACTTCTTTTGCAATATGGCGGACAGGGTTTGTTACACGGGCTACATACGCATCTAGGGCCATTTGGGAAGTCGGTTCATATGTGTAGCTACATTAAAAAATAAATGATATATATATAAAACTTGTTTTTACAATGATAATCTAACCAAACATTCAGAAATGTGTAACTACTTATTTTTTATTTATACTCTATGTATGTATAATCGTCAAAATGTTGTCGCCTGACGAAATGTCGGTTCCAAGTGGGTTAGTATGAGCCTCGAATACAATATCTTTTTATACTTTAAAAGTGCCGGGGAAACAATATTGGCTTTTCTGTAAGGCTTACCCAGTTACTGGAAATGGTGTACAACTACGTGCTCGGCGCACCACAGGAGTATGCAAGTCCCGAATCAGAGATTGTGCCCGATTACGAATCCGGCTTGTTTCCTCAGAAAATGTCTGGAAGTTGGAATGATTATTTTCAATTATTTAAACTAAAAAAGGTCCAGCAAAGCACAGAACTAAACACAATCACTTAAATTGGGGATACACTGTGTAAAAACTTACGGTAAAGGGTTCAGTATTGAGGTAGTTAGTTAGGGCCCGTGCACCATATCCAGGAGGTAGCCTCTTCAAATACGAAGGTACTGGTCGAACGGAAGATGAAGTTATCCTCACCGGCGAAACCGACCGGGCGTACACACGAGTAATTGTTGTAGGATTGTAATGATAAGATGGTGTGTACGTTGTGTACGATGTTGGGATATATTTCGAAGTGTAAGATGATAGAAGGGCTGGGCTGTAGTAGGTCGTTGGCGTAGTATATGAATACGTTGTTCTCTCCGGAGATGAAATTACACGAGTTGTTGTACGGACAACACGAACAGGCGATGGAGAGTGTATAATCCGTGACACCACCCTTGAAGGGGAGGTGACAACTCGGATTGGCGATGTAACCAGACGAGTTCCAGTAACGATACGCCTAGGTATTGAGTAACTCGAGTAAATGGGATAACTCGATTTGTAGACCTATTTTGTGACGGTTAAAAATTAAGGTAACATAAATCTGAATATATGTACTTAGTTTGAAGCTAAGATTAGATTAATGATAAAGAATATGTAGCTAAATAGATTTAGAGGCGGATTGGTAGATGATGAACTGTTGAAAATAAATTTCAATGATTTATGCGAATTCATAAGTATATTTTTTGGTCGAGCTCCACAGAGCTAAGTTAAAGTTTTGTTGTATTAATGAATTAATTTATTTGTATGCTTTATCCTAGTGCTAAAAGTTTACACTTCTGTTTATTGCGCTAGTTACTACTCGTAGTTATTTACTTAAATCTAATATTGATCATTTTACATTTTTAGAGAAGTTTACGTTCTTGTTATAATTGTAAATTAACATAATTTTTTACTGTTTTATTACTTTTTATACCCGATACTCAAATTGAGTATTGGGGTATATTAGATTTGTGGTGAAAGTGGATGTGTGTAACGTCCAGAAGGAATCGTTTCCGACCCCATAAAGTATATATATTCTTGATCAGCATCAATAGCCGAGTCGATTGAGCACTGTCTGTCTTCGCCCCGCCGAGGAAACAGAAAACGCAGAATCGTAGAGAATGACCATATCTTTTAGACTGCCGAATCTGAATTCGATCGTATCATTATTATAGCCAGCATCAAGAAAACAATTTCATTATTTCTCGCTCTGTCTCTCTCTAACACACAGGTTTCATGGTCGGTTTTGCCAATTGCAAAATGTGAGTTCATAATCTCAGAACCTATAAGAGCCACAGCAACCAAATTTGGTATCCACACTCCTGTGATATCGGACCTTGATCGTTTGGTCTCAAAATTTCACCACACTCCCTTCCGCCCCCGCAAAGGACGAAAATCTGGGGCATCCACAAATCTCAGAGAATAGAGGAGGCTAGAGCAACCAAATTTGGTATCCCCACTCCTGTTAGATCTCACTATAAAACGTATATCTCAAAATTTCGCCCCACCCCCTTCCGCCCACACAAAGGACGAAAATCTGTTGCATCCACAATATTGCAGATTCGAGAAAACTAAAAACGCAGAATCATAGATAACCACCATATCTATCAGATCGCCGAATCTGGATCAGATCAGATCATTTTTATAGCCAAAAGGAACAAATCAATTTTCAGTGGCTACGCAGCGCCCGACGTCATGCTCAGACTGATTTTCTGTCTCTCTCGCACGCACTCTTTGTCGTGTCGTTCAATATTAGCGGCGTCTGCCGGAGGAGAGCCATACCGACTTAGTATCGGGTATAACTGTAGAGTTGCGGTGTCCGCAGCAACTTACAACGTTCCCCCTCGTTGTACTTATCTTTAAGGAAAGTGTTCTTCTGAAAGGTTTTACATCTATGAACTTTCGTTCTTTGCGGATCCAGATGCGGACCCAGTACCGAATTATATTTTAATACACTGAGGCCAGTCCCTTTTCCAACCCTTGACCTTTCTCTCCAACCTCTCTTTGGAACAGTCCCTTTTCCAACCCTTGACCTTTCTCTTCAACCTCTCTTTGGAACAGTCTTGTCTCCCAGTAACTTGGAATGAATCCCACATCAGTCCGCTTCACAAAAAATGTTCACGATCTAACATTGAAAACTATCTTGGTATCGCAAAGCTTTTCTTACTGCGTCATATGTGTACTAAATAAAAATAATCGAGCTCTTCTATTGGAGTTGTAAGTAGCAAGTAAAAACTAGTGAAGTATTCATATGTACGCATATTTTAGTAACTAAGGTCTCAATTAACCGAGTCGGCGTCCAGTGACGATGAGGTTATAGAGGTGATTAAGCAGTGTGATAAATGTCAAATTAAAAGAAAAGTAATACTGTAGACACATGAATAAGAAGAGGTATATGCAAACATTTTTTAAATCACGTACTTACACGAGTTACTTTCTGAACGGACGGATACTGCAAAAAATATACAACACCATTGAAGAAATTAAATGTCGTCTAGTTATTGAACTTAACTGTACAGTCTTGCAGGTAATACACCTAAAACTTTTGTCACTTTTGTTCTAACCTTACACATTGAGAAACATTTTTTTTCGCCACAACAAAAGCCTACAACTGTATGAATATCGTATCTAACTCTTTTTAAAGTAAAAAGATGCTGTTTTTTAACGAAGAGCATGTTTTTTTATTGTATCACAAATATTTTTTAGTTATAAGTGTTTGAGATGGGGAACATAAACAAATTGTTGAACATTAGTAATGATTAGTCCGAGTCAATAAGTGTACATCAAATTGAAAACAAGCACCAAAATATCATTAACAGAGGTACATACATACATACGTAGTTAGATGGTTATGCTGATTATTTAAAGATATAAATTTTAAATAATGCTGTATTAGATTAATATGTTTGCAGCTTTGAAGAACTTTTCCATCATTTGAATGTCAACAGTTTAGACATGATAAGAGAAGTGGCGGTATTTGGTGCCACCTGGTAAGTTTCCAGAAGTGGTAGAAGAATAGCTGTAACCGCCAGGTCCAGCTCCAGTCGTACTAGTCCGCTCTGTGCTATAGTTGTATGAACCACCTGGACCACTACGCGATGTTTTCTCCACGGTAGACGAATAAGTTGAGCGCTCCGGCCTAGAATATGGGTTGCTAGAGTCGTAACTGCTATTTTGGACAGTTGATTTCGCATTGTACGAGTAGTCCGATGAGGCGCGGCTGCGGTGCGAACCAGGTCTGTCCGTGCACAGGTCTAAGCGTGGAGTCTATAAATTCCGATTTGTATATTTTTAAGTAAAAAAATATTGTCAACACAAGCAATCATTATAAAAATGTTAAATTCAATTTTGTTTCACAAACAACTAATGTTAACTATATCGATATGTATGATATCAGATCAGAGATTATACTATACATTTATAGCTGTTAACATGGGCAGAAGGCCTGAGTAAATGTTGCCCCACTATGCTTAGTTAGTTAAGTTGTGTTGTACCATTTAAGATACACTTTTAAGATATGTCCACTTAAACGAAATTGAAACATGTTCGAGCTAAATATTTTTAATAGAATTCTCTAGTAACAGTAGAGTATTTCTAACTCATCATTAAATAAGTGCTTGTGATGTACAATAGTAAAATTATAAAACGTTGGGTACATGTAAATGTACATTTCGAAACAAAATAATCTTTTAAAAAATTTTAGTTGGTTAATACAAGGACATGTTTATATTAGACTATTCTACAGGTCCTATCGTTATATTATGAAAATGGTTTATTTTAGTAGTAGTCTTCGATGTGGATCGGAGCATTTAATCTGTTCTGTTCATTAGAAATAGTACTTTGTGCACATTGCGCCCGACTTCTCATTTCGATACGTTTCCCTTCGCACCGGAAGACTTTCCGAGGCAGCTCGGTGCAAACGTGGCAGTTGACTGTCCAGACTATCGCGGGACGTTCGGGCAGCCGTATTTCCACCGGCTTCAACGGTGTCGATATGTTGTCGTACCAAACTTAAAATCCGATTACGATTCTTATCGCGGGTAGAAACATATGGTTCAATGGGCTCATAGGCAATTTTATAATTTGGCTTTATTGCCGCCTTATTGATTGGATCAAGTATGAATCTCTTTCGCTGCTCATGTTCTGCTCTTCGAGCTCCGAAAGCAGTCACTGGATCGGAGATGAGTGAAGGCCGAGGCACAAATGGAACTTTCTCCCAGTCAATTGGTGTTCTGTTTGTTCTCTGTAATGCCCAAAATTCCACAAATCGTTTATAATTTCTAAGACAGCCAAGCCAAGGTTAGAGTGTGCATAGTATATTTTACGGTATTCCGCAGGTAATTACAAAACATCTTATCAGTAAGGCTCATACATATGTACATGCATACATAAATACATACATTTCTGCAAGTTACATGCCTGCTGTGGGTGATATTAATATACAAATAGTATTGTATGAATATTAAGTAAATTTGTATTCAAGATTACATATACATACATATGTACAAGTTTTTCTTAATATGGTAAATGGTAGAATGGTAGTTAGTATTCGGCGCATCATTCAAATGGATAAGATAAAAAACATGTACATTCATTTACGAGTATATTTGAACATAGGATATAAGTACATATGTACCTACAAATTGTTCCATTACGTCTATGTGTGTATCTACTATGTGCATTTATTAATTTATGTGTGTATATCAATAATTTTTTAATACGCATCGGCCTGTACAATAACACTAATGAGCAATGTTATTTACGTACGTAAATGTATACATACTTGTATGACTAATATGTAGTTTTATGCAGACATGTAAATTATGAAAAGTTTATTCCTACTGTTTGATCTCTAGCTCCTCCAACGATTTTGGCTTATATATTGTGGAAATCAGAAAGATATTTTTAGGTCTAACGAAACGCGAAATGCGCGCGCATCTAGTATTACACATGCATAGAGCAAAAAAAAGGCGCAGCGTTCAAAAAAAAATCGAGAGAATTTTGTTTGTATATGTATGTATATTTATCAAATATTTGAGTGTGTTTGGAATTTCACTCGTCTATTTTCTGCACATTTTCAGGCACAATAATAAAATATTGGCCTCCAAATTCTTAAAATGTGTTTGCTTGTTATATTTAAAACATGAGTAAACGACGGATCACGAACAAAAATGCATAACTACATACCTACAAAAGTAGGTTCATATTTTCACACACATTGATTTTTGATTAATGATTAATGTACACGAGTTTTCTTAATTCATTATAGATTTCATTATGTTTTAAAATTTACCTAGGAAAATATTTGATTACCCCTAGAAAACGGCTTTTAATTTCTATAAGTTTTCATATAGTATGTACATATTTACAAGTCACCTTGTCGTTATATAGTAGTAGTATATACATTATTTCAGAAACTAGGACAAGGTAAAAATATTAGTAGTACTGGAATAGAATTGTACCGTCAGTAAATTTGTAGATACGATATTCATAATTGTGCGACACTTTGAAGTGGCAGCTGAGTTTAAATTCAAACGTGTTTCAATTTCTTAAGTAAAAAAGCTTCTAAACATGAAAACATAGACTACAATAAGTGGGACACAAGCGTTTAAAAAATATTTTTTCAGATACATATTCGGGTGTGTTGTGTAGCTGAATATATTAAAACTTGTCAAACTTATCCGCAGCGTATGGTAAACACTTGTTAGCAAATCTAACAAATGAGATAATACAAGTAAAATTTAAGATCTTACGCACAGATTAATTTTACATATTTTATTAAATATAAACTTCACAACCGAATGTTATCTTTTTCTACATTGAAAGGCTTACCGAAACGGCGTAAGAAGTTGTCACCGGTCTGGAGGAGTAAGTTCTGCGAGTTGTAAATCCACTTTCGTAAACCATTTTGTTTTTTTTTTTTATGAAATTGTCTTGTTAGAAATTATTCGGTGATTTTAGTTCGAATGTATAGTCGTTTCGTTTTGTTCACTTGACGCCCGCTCGAGTTGTTCTGACCGAAAATTTCATGAATCAGTTGCTTATAATTTTTCGATTTCAAAAATTTTTGTAGCCTTCAATGTTTTCTCACTCTCTATCTCTTCTTCTATTTATCTCACGAAAATGTATTTTTGGCATTTAAAAAATCTCTGGCCACAAAGAGCGCGCAGTCTAAAGTGTATACTGTATTAGTGTTCAATAATGTACATGTACTCGAACACATACTCATACTTGATGTGTTCTATGTATCTTCAAGCGATTACAATCCACTGCGAAATAGTCTTAACAACATACTATTCATTAATTAAACAAACTTTTATGACTCTTTTATCAGTTATCTTAGCTTCTTATTCCAAAAGGGTATACCTCAAAAACTGTATATGTATTTGTTTCTAGCGGTAAACGGTTCCTACGAATAGAAAATAGCACGGCACACATACATATGTACATATGTACGTACTTACAAGAGTTTACATATGTCCGGTATATTCAATGATTTGATATCATTATACAGTATTACAATCTCGGCTGTTAAGTACTACAGTATACTTCTACTTTTAACTAAACCACATTTATGGGTAGATTCTAAGTAAAATAAAATTGATCTAGTCTCAAACAAACATAGATAGCCCATTGTCAACAAAAATATATTTAAAAACTAAATTTTCTTGGTATATCGCTAATCTTTTTCTGCTAGCTGAACTTTCCGCTATAGCTTCTAGCTAAATATTAAAACTCTTTAAAACCCCCACTAAATTAATCACTAAAAAATCTTGACATAATTTGAATGCAGCTTGCAATACTATATATACCAGATTAATAAATTAAATACGAAAAAAAATAAGGGAAATTCTTAAATTAATATTTAAAAAAGAGAAAAGTTCTATCTGTTAGATTTTGGGATTAGAATTATTATATTCGAAGTGTTACTTTTCGTAGTGTCATACAATTCATTAAATTACTGTTTTGAAAATTTTCAAATTTTTTTTAAAGTAACAAATATATCCTAAAATATGACCTTTAGTATACAGCTAATAGTAATCTTGATCTCCAATACCAACAGTATCATCAACAGCAAGGACTGTATTCTTGTATTTCATAGACTGTATTTCACTAGCCACTATATGAGTACATTCTTGATAAGCATCGGTCGAATCTGTATAGGCCATTTTATTTTCTGTCTGTCTGCAGAAGCACCTGGATCTCACAGCCAATACTCCTAGGTGCCAGAGCAATCAAATTGTGAACACGACGTAAAAAAACACACAGATGTTTTTGAATCTCTCTAAAACTATTATCCTCCCAAAGGAAAGCCGCCATATCTTTTATAGCTTATACAGTCGAATGCATGTACTTATGTACATACATATGTTTACGATTTTTTACATTATTTTTTTTGATAGATGTACTTAGTACAGATCAAAGAATAAGCTTGACCTCTTTGCGGTTATTCGTCAATGGTAGTATTATTTATATCTCTTATCACACATAAAAGGAGTGGTAAGACTATATAAACACCAGATATATTTTAATCGGAAGATTGTTTAAATGATACTCAATTAAATACTTTTTGGAAGCCGAGTTTATATTTACTATGGGCCTTGATCTTGTTTCGAACATGTAAAATTTGCTCGCTTAAAAATAAGGGACTGGACTGGAAAAGGACTAATGGAAGACAGTCATTGCTATTTCCACTCGATTACAAATACTGATAAAGTACAAAATGGCTTTTGTATGGCTTTTGGTGTTCCAAACTTCAGAATAATATCATGGTACTCCACCTCAGAGTACACACTGAAAATCTGCTACCATTATATGTATGTATCTGGTAACTAATTATTCAAAAAATACTCATATGTATGTATGTATGTGCATATGTACATACATACATGCCTGAAAATGGGATAAAAATAAATTTTGTTTTCCAACAAAATTGAGTAAAGATTTACTCACCCATACTAATAATAAAATGAAATGTATTTGTGAATATACAATATGAAAAATCTTGTATACTCACAAAATTCAATGGCATGTGTGGGTGTTTCAGGCATATTTATACAAAAATCCACGGGAAAACTCGAAAACAAAATTTTGTGTGACATTAACCTTAAAAAGAGCCAATGAATGACTCGTAAAGCAAGGTTACAGAAAAATTGCTTATTTGGCCACTGAAAGCAAAATAGAAGATTTTATGAGAATCTCACACGGTGTGCTTATGATATTGCATATGTACATATATGATATTTTGGTAATATTTATTTGTAATCGATTTATAAAAACACATTAGTTCTAGCGGTTTTTTGAAACAATAAAAAAAACTTTAAAAACAAAAAATAAAACCTTTTGATGAAGTTTTGTTTTGAACCGATAGTTTTTATGGACTTACATACATATATTTACATATTTATTGCGTAAAATAGTATGGAAACCCCCCTTTTAATAGTTTCATTGAAATACAGAAAACCAAACGAAACTTACATACATATATATGTATGTTTGTACCAAAATAAAAGGTTAGTGCCATAAAAGTGAACTAATTTTCCTCGAAACAGACAGTAGGACATATTTAAAACGAATTTGATGCTGATCAAAAATGTATGTACAAACGAGACATGATTCTCGACGTTGAAACATCTTCTAAAAATATGAATACCCTCTGCAAGGAAATAAAAGCTCATGGTCAAACATCCGAAAATGAGAAAGTACATAGATGTAAACTAGTAAATTATGAACACGCCTAGTATACGCATATATACGTATTAAATTCTTCTTTATGGTAATTAAATAATTTGTATCCTCATAATAATTTTAAAGTATGCATCAACGTATTACGTTCTCAAAAGTCAGCAACAAGATATGCCAGTCACACCATTGAGACAACATGGTGTGCACATCCTACAGTTGTTGGTTCGTGGACAGCTATGAAAGCTGAAAAGAAAAGCGTATAAATTAAAATTGTTTTTACAATGAGCTGTATATATACCCTCTTGAAAGATCTCGTTGCTCCAAATGGGTACGCAGGATATCACACGGCCGAACTTCATCGCAGCGACTAGGCCTGAGGAATCTCTGCCTGTTTAACTCAGATCTGCTTGTGGGCCTGTCAACCTGAATGTTTTTCGACCCTTTGATACCATACCGTACACCGGATTTACTTTCGACCTTTAATTTAGAGGCACTTTGACTGGAAGGGCGCAGTTTCTTCTTTTTATTTATATTGCTGTCATTACTTACACCCTTCTTTTTATTAAATGACTTTCTTCCTGCACCTGATTCATATAGTCCATGTGATTTACTTTTATCTTCGACACTAATTGTATTTAATTTTCTTGCATTATCACCATATTTTTTTTTAGAACCGCCTATGTCAACTCTGCCATTAATTGCATTGTCATCGATAGACTTATCTCCGATTTCCCCAGTAGTGCCTTTTTTAGATTTCGAAAATCCACCACCTTGGTCTTTCTTGCTCGGAGATCGATTATTATCATCGTCGTCAATATAAGATTTTCGCTTTTTTGAATTTCCTGAACCTTTAATAGGATTTTTAGATTCGCTCCGATCGTTAGCACCTTTTTCCAGTTCCAGTTCTTTTCCACTTCGGTTTTTATCTTTCATAGACTTTCCCGATCCATCAACTTGGTCTTTCTTTGAATTGCTCGGAGATCGATTATTATCATCGTCGTCAATATGAGATTTTCGCTTTTTTGAGTTTCCTGAACCCTTAATAGTTTTTTTAGATTCGTTCTGATCATTATCACTTTTTTCCCTTTCCAGTTCTTTTCCATTTCGGTATTTATCTTTCATAGATTTTCCCGATTCAGTTTTATCTTTTTTACTGTTACCATTGTCATCGTTATCTTTATTCCCTCGCCTGTTGTCTTTATCGGATTTCCTAGATACATTTTTACCCGCTTCTTTGTTGCGGTCGCCATCTATTTCCTTTTCATTTTTTCCTTTCCGAGATTTTTTGGATTCTTCTCCATCTGTGTTACCACTTTCCTTATCGTCGTCTTTATCGCCTCGGCGCTTATTTTTTCGCGACTTTCTAGATGCAGTTACATCTGTATCTTTTTTATCAATGTCCCCGCTATCTTTTTCAACCTGGCTCTTATTGCTTTGGGATTTCGTTCTTTCATTTTTACGTTTATCTTTGCTGTCCTTATTGTGTTCGCCATCTGTATCTTCTGGAGCCTTACCTTTGACAGATCTTTTGGAGGCATCTTTCTCTGTATTGCCATTTTCGTTATCGTCTCCTTTTCCACCCCGGCCTTTCTCTTTTCGTGACTTTTTGGATAAAACACTTGTATCTGCATCTTGGCTGGGCTTGGCACTATTTTTGTTTCGATCTTCACTTTTTCCTTCAGCGGATAGCTGATTTTTTCCGTTTGATCCTTTCTTTAATCTCTTCGAAGCCCTAATTTCTTCGTCATTACTACCCTTATCTTTAAGTGACTTCTTTAAGGGGCCCAAATCGATTATGGGCTTTAATTTACCTTCATCAGTTTCTTCCCGCCGACGATCCTTGCTAATTTGTCCTCTTTTATTGTATTCCTCGCTACGTCTCTTCTGCCAGCCCAAATCCTTCAACGAACCTGAATTACATATTACAAAAATGAAATAGTAAATAATAATCAAAAAACATGTTTGAAGCTAACCTCGCTGATCGATAGGCGTTCGTAGATTGGTACTATTACCTCCTTCGAAGACTGAATAATTTTCCCGACACTGTTGACGGCTATGGCTTTTTATTATCTTATGGCAGATCCTTTTCAGCAAAGAATAGGTATGATCATTCAAAAATGAACTCGTACAACAGCGATGACATCGGCAAGAGCTACAAATATTATTTGTATTGCAGAATATTTTGGTTGAACTTGATGAACTATGCCAGAAATAAAATTGTTTTAGCTTTAACACAAAAAATATTCCTTCTCGCTTACCTAGATGCGGGATCACAGCAGTGATCTAAGTCCATAACCATTTTATTACGAGCATGTGCATTTTTCATAAATCTTAAATTTTGAATCTAAAAATATTGCTAAAATTTTTAAATCAGACATTTAATTCAAAGGTTTTCGAATATCAAATCTTGAGTTTTTGTAGTATCTTTACTCTGAAGAGGCACAGGTGGCAAGGGGAGAGACGATCTATCGATTTTCGTCTGTCCAATGGATCAGACCATAATCTAAGTAGTATAGCTGCTTTAGAAACTATCGATCGAAAAGCAAGGCTATCACTGGGAATAACGGGTAAAGGCAGTATGACTATTTGGGAAAAGACGAGCAATCATGTCAGTGACTTAATACCAGAAATCATTTGGTCGGGTACCTCTAATAATGGTTACCGAGCCTTTCAGGTGCAAACACTTCCATGTGTCTCTGACTCCAAACCCCGATTGCGACACAAAGCACAATTTTGTTTGAAATGCATGGGTGCCCAACTTATCCGCCCACATAGCATGGCTGTTAGTAAGTGTTTTTGTCGTGTCTGTGGCTGTGATAATTTTGTTAAATAATTGAGTATGCAATATAAAGTCGCATTAAACGTAAAGATACTTAATACATACTACATACAGTGATGTGCCTGCCGCAAGATATACGTATGTTTGGCCATACATATGTATGTGCCTCTTTACATATTTAACAATACCTATGAAAGTGACTATATGGGGACAGGTACGTGCTCAGTCGTTGTGCTAGAATGATTTTCTTTCCTCACTTTTCATAAATACGTAAATAATATGCACATCATAGTGCTTGCTTGACAAATTGTAAAATGAACAAATTGCATGATTTCTTTAGCAAAGTATATATATAGTAGAGATGGTCTCTCTGAAAACACCAGTTTGGAGCGGGGCTTACAACAGATTGTAGCAACAGACACAACGACACAACAAATTGGAACCGCTAAAGGATACTATACCATTATGAATGTAAATTGCGTCGTAATTCTGCAGATCCTTTGCATGATGGTTATACTAAGTAATACGAACGCCATACCCAAATATGACGAAGGTCAAAAGTAAGTTAAGTTCTTTTTGCAAATTGATTTAGCATAATGGTAATGGAATTACTTCTAATGTTGTTACACTTTGATAAACTATTTCATTCTCTTCTAGATTCAATTCTGAAAAAATTCAGCGTAATCGATCATACTACAACGAAAATAAGACACAGCTGAATGAGCCGCAGACAGCCTCAACTAAAGATAGACTTGAACGGCTGGGATACACGACAGGCTACGGCTCTTTAAATGTACGTAGTCACATGTTCATGACACTTAATTAAATTATAGCTTCAAAGCATCTCCCAATGGATATTTTCAAAAAATATTAACCTTACTAGACCACAGTTGGCTATTATGGTTATTATTTAATAATAGTCAGATGGATATAACAAAATCAAATTTATCTTTTGGTGATAGTGAGAGAAAGTAATTAGAAAAGCTTGTGTTTAAAAGTAAAATACTACTACGATTTAACACTTTAAATTGTGCATAAATAATTGTTATCATCATTATATAAAGGGATATCCTGGCGGTACAGGACTATCAGCGTATAATCCCATAAAACTGGATCTCGGTGGCGTGGTGTTGGGCACGCTGGTCGGCATTGGTGCCATTATACTAATACCCAAAATTCTGTCCGCTTTTCATGGTGGTTACGGAGGATATGGACGAAGTAAGTGGACAATTTTGTGTGTGTTTAAAGCCAGATACAGTGTTTAGTTCTCGTTTTCGTACAGGTGAGGATAATGATCTTACGTCTCTCAGCACAATGATAAGCAAAATTGACGATGTACTGAGTCAGAATAATATTGATTCTACCAGCTGCATGCAGCGCACAGTTTGCGGGTATGTTCGATCAACTGAATATAACATGAAGGGTGGAACCTCGGACCAAATGGACGAATTTATTCATATGCTTTCAGAGTAAGTAACAGCTAAAATATTTAGTGTCGTATTTTTTTGCTAAATTATACTTTATGGCCTCAACCGTCTTACGGCGTGTTGGAATCAGGGAAAAGTCACAAAGAGCCAAATCATGCATACAGATGCATGTAGATGCACATAGATGCCTTTAAACGGCCAATTGGTATGCATTTTTGATGGTTTGCTATCGTGGCTTGCAACATCACGGTAACTGTAGAAATGAGAAAATGATTTTCGAAAAATGTTGATGGTTTTTTTGTCGGCTTATTTTTGTTCATTCTAAGCTAATTGTTGCCAAACACTGTAACAATTTACCGACAACAAAAATTGTATTGATTTGGTGGATTAAGTTTTATAAGTATTAAGATTAATTTAGATGTAATATTTTCCTTACGTGCATGTATATGATGAAAGGAATTTTTACGTATAACATATCGACAATATGCTATTTTCAGAAATGTATTGGTGGACTACCTTTTGGATGGGACGGCTATAAAAGAGGCATTGGAAATTGGAAAGCGCGAAAACGATAAACCATGCGAAGAAGTGTACTCCAATTGCCCTTTGGACAGTAAATCCGCGTCAAATATTCTTCTAAAGCTTCTTCCTAAGAAAAACTCACACGGAAAGCGGACACCTGCTGTGCTTTTCGGAGAAAAGAAAGCATAGCCAATATGATTGGATTTTTAATAAGTTTTTTATTTTTAGCATATTACAGGAACCATTACAAAATATTATTCCATTAACAAAATAAACATTTAATTTTTGTTTTTAATTTAATTTTTTTCATTAATTGCAATGCGTGTAAACAATTATCGTACACGACCGATTAAAAAAAAAAAAACGAGGGGGAACGTTGTGAGTTGCTGCGGAGACCGCAGCTCAACATTTATACCCGATACTTAGTCAGTATGGCTCACTCCGGCAGACGCAACTAATATTGATATTAAACCGAACATTTTAAGATTTTCAGCATATATGAGGAACCCAGAATATTCAACCCTGAAATATATTCTTGATCAGCAGCAATAATCGGGTCGATACAACCATGCCTGTCGTCCGTCCATTTTATCACACCTTGCTATGTAAACTGTGCCTGAAAGACGTGTTTCTAAGAACGAATTTGAATGGTTAACAACGAAAACAAGCAAAAATATAAAACAAAAACTCAACGCAGCTCGAGTTCTCTTTCAATTTTGCTCGTATTTGCTATGAGTGATTTGAAAACATAGAGAGAAAGAGAGAAACCACGATTACCTACACAGAAGTTCTGTAGGTACATATTTAGTTCGTTCTGAACGGATGAGGAGCATCTAAAATCAAGCTTACATATAAAACGCATGATTTGTATGCTTTGTCATATCTCTATTATGCATATACAATTTTCCCGATATTTTACTCACATCGGCGTGATCGAGCAAAGCGCGTGCATAGGGATCTTACCCCTAATATATATATATGTATATACTCCGACTGGGTTTTTATTCCGTAAACATTAAGAACATATTCTTTATTCGGGGGTAGCATAACTGGATTCAGGCGTGCTTAAAATAGCTTTTAATTGCTTCTCTTGTTGTTCAATGATTGGCAACCAATGCTCAGATGGGGGCTTAATGTTGCTAGACTTGAATTTTGTAATTTGATCTATATTAGTCAAAAAAGTTTTTTGATGCAAACTATTGCCCAGCATAATGTGTTCAAGTTTGTCTACTAAATGGTTTGACTCCTTTATTAGTTCATCGATAGACTGCAGCAGTGCATACCAATCAATTTTCATAGTTCCAATAACTGAATTGCCCCTCAACTGAAAAGGAATAGGTGCGAAACTGCGCCACGGGCTGTACGAGTCTATGGTATAAGGTATAAAATGTTGATCAGATTCCATTTCAACTGGATCATCATCAAAATTCCACGAGGCTAGGGTAGGTGTTAAGTTTAGACCGACACGATTTGCGCCTACCGCATGTCTTTGTAATTGAGACTCCTCGTCAAAATACAACTTTCGTATTCTAGTAATTGTATCATCGAAACCCGTCTCCAAATTTGAAACAATACCATTTTCATCTTCGTTACATTGTATTAAGTAACTATTAATGACGTCCTTATTATAAGCTTTTGGCAGAAGCGTTTGTGTATACCGAGAAACTGTAGCAATGCTGTCGGTCATTTGTGACATGGAATAGGTCAAAATATCTGAAATGGTCATCCGATTAAATGATTCAAGTGATTCACTGATTCAATATTTCAAAGAAAATTTAATTACACTGCTGAAAGCCATCCTTCTTCCTACAATATTGTCCATCGGTAAGAATCCCAATATCTTTGTGCAAAATTAAATCATATTGTGCATCCACGCTTGCTTCTTTCATAAGCTTAGTCGGCACAAAGTCCGTTTGAAGACCTACATTTGCTTTTCCAGCTCTTAATCGTCTATAGCGGCAAAAACAGTTTTGTCTATTATTATTATCAATTACTATATAAAGTATTTAATATTGATTACCTTGATGCATCAAGTAATTTAGCACGCAGCAATGCACTCTTGTCAGGTTTGGTAAGCGTTGACACGCTAACTGCGCGCCATGGTGGGCGTTTAGATTCATTTTCCTTTTCCTTTTCTGAAGCCAGTTCCTTCATACGTTTCCAGCTATTTTTGGCCCTATTTTATGAGAAGCTTTATGTTGGATTACGCACATATTGAAAATTATATTTAAACGAACAGACAACCAACGTGAACCTTACCTACTCAATGATAAACTACGATTGTTAGATAGTAAAACTGTTTGATGGTCTTCAACACTTTGAGTCTCACTAGTCTCCGAAGATGTTCCACTGTTATTGGAGCTATTATTTGACTTCTGCTTGTTCATGATACCGAATTTTTCCCCTTTTTTCAATTTTAAATGTGTAGTGGTGTAAGAACTTGCCCAAGTGCTTTTATTAGCAGTCAATACATCGATGCATAAACAAATTAGTGCATCACTGTTGCTATGGTATCACATAAAGTAGTTAGAAATGCATGCATACATACATATGTGTGTACTTAATTACACTGAAAGAAAGTCGACATTATTTGTTGCTATGTTGCTAGAAACACTCCATATTTTCCACCGGTTTCTGTTGGTTGTCCGAATTTTACTTTTTTGTATTAGCACCTGATAAACAGTTTGTATGTATGTTATCTTATGATTTATGTAACTTATATTATACATATACATATTCCTGCACTCCGTCTATTATAGCTGATTTCATACCGCAGGCACAGGAAATTGATATCTTCAAAATCTTAAAAATTGTCGATATTTGAGATAATTTGTTTCTGTCACAAAAAAGGGTGTCGAACGGTGAATTCGAATAAGGTGGAGGAGATGATGGCCGCCAAAAAGCAACACACGACTGAGAGTGCCAGCGAGCAAGCGGCAACGCGGGCCCAAGAGTGCGGCCCCTCCATCGAAAGCGGCCAAAACGCCAATAACTATTGCACTGTTTGCGCAGATGGATGACGACCCCACCTTCGATGCTGCTGGGTGGCTCAATGGGGTAAAAATACTGAAGTGCAACGCCAACCCAACCCTAAGGTAGGCTGACGTGCACGGTCTGCCAACTGTCAGGAGACCAAGCTGGAGGTCGTGGACAGCAGGCTAATCCAGATTTGGGAAGATGGCGTGGGGCATGTGCGGCGTTTACCTGCACCCCAAAAAACGCCACCCCGAGGACAAGGAAACGCACACCCTACAGGTAGGCGAGGTGTAAAAGGACCTAGGTCTCGAATCCATCGTGGAGACCGCCCAGGGTCTTGCGCTCGAAGACTTCCGGGAAGAAGAGGAGGACGGTGACCTGACGCTGGTAGTCAACGCGTCAGGCGCAACTGAGCCAGCCACCAATGATGTTGATTGCGCTGCAGCTCAACTTGTGTAAAAGCAAGGTAGCGTCGGCGGAGCTCCTCAATGCCATGGAGCAAGGGCACAATCAAGAGCTGGAAAGTCCTAGGAGACCACTCCTTCTCAGACCACAAGTATATCGAGACGATATTATCCTTCGAGATCCCCAAACCCACCGACTATATCAACCCCAGAAAAGCCAACTGGGAAAAATATAGCGCAACCCTGGAGAAACTACTCCCTCCTAACGCCCCTAATTGCCCGAACACGGATGATAACCTAAACCGTCTTGTGAACAGGTTTACGGATGCGTGCAACAAAGCCTACAAGGCAGCATTCCCTTCTACCAGACCAAGGGGGAAAAAGAAACCACCCTGGTGGTCTAAGCAACTAGACACCCTTCACCCTTGGACAGACTATAAAACCAGTCTAGCACTATACAAAAAGGAAACGAGGAAGGCTAAAAGAGCCTCCTGGCAAAAATTTTTCTCCGAATTCGAGGAAACTTCGGAGGCCGCAAGACTCTGGAAAGTTCTCTCAAAAACTACCCCTTCGGTAGGTTACCTCAAAAAGAATGATGCTACGTGGACCAACTCCAGTGAGGAGTCCCCACACATTCCCCGGATGCACAACCACCGAGCCGACATCCTCCAAGGAGAGGGATCGGTAGAATCGATGGACCATATCCTTACAAAACGGAACATAAGTTGGGCAGTAAACAGCTTCAACCCGTTTAAATCGACAGAAATATATAATAATCTGCCGCATACAGAAAGCTTTACAATATAATCGGTTAGCTAACTCTGTCTTATATACCGCCTGTATGAAAAATACTGACAACATTTAAGCGTATGGTCCTCTTGAAAGGGAAATGTAATTTGTTTTAATTTTGTTGTTTAAAACTTTATTTTGTATATTTTAGGAGCTACAATAAAGTGCATTAAGTATGCGAAAGATGTCGCTATTGTAATTATCTAAATACGGCCTCCCTGTTTCGTAACCGCACTTGGAAAATAATTCGTAACTCTCCCTGTGGAACCAATAGTTCTTTAAAGAGTTCTTAGAACTAATATCAAGGGTATTCAGCTGGAATACACCAAAGTGAAATGTCCTACCGTCGGTCTGAACACTTTGTACAACGATGGGTTTTGCAAGATCTCCTTCACTGGAGGCGCCATACAAATGCTTGGCCCGTGCTACAGCAACTACAAACCCTTTTAATAATGTTCGTGCTTGAAATTGAGAAGTTGTGACCTCGGATCCATGAGTGTTTACCAAATTTGTATCAAAGAAAGAAAAAACGGTGTGTGGATGAGAGCAGGTAGCATCTGTCCGAAACGCTGAAAAGATGATTTTTTTACATTGAATAATTCGCTTTCATTCCTATTACTTACGATAGAAGTCATTTTTAACAATAGGCTTTTTTGGTATTGAAATTGTACATTTCATTGGGTACAGATCAGGCAAAGTGCCGTTAAACTTCAATTTCACACCTTCAATCGCACGATTAGAGCAAACTAATTTATTTGCATTGATCGCAAATCCAATCTTATCACTGTCTTTATTCAATGACGCTTTAAAGGCAGCATTATCAAACAGCTTTCGGCGTACTGTGAGGGATCGACCGGCCCATTTTTCAATTTCATGTAATATTTTGTTTACTAGCAGTCGACTAAAAATAAATTCATATTATTGTATGCCATAAATTGAGAGGTAGGTGCCTGTTACTTGATTCTTTCGTGGGAAATTCCATAGTTGCGAGGCAAGTTAAAGGCAGGTCGCTCAATCAACTTAATTTTAGGCAATTTAACCTGCTCAGCATCAAGCACATGTGCAGATAAAATAGCGTTTCGAATATTTCTATCAATACCGTTTGGCAACTTCTGGTTAGCAACAGCTTCTTCGATTTTTGGAGGAAACGTTTTAACCTCTATAGTATTTGTCAATACTTGGGCTTGGGGTAATCCACCAATTAGTAGACTGTTATCATTATAGGAATGGCAAGCAGTAGAATCCGATTTTGGATGCGCATTGTTCTCGGAAATCGCTCTTGGACTTGTTCCAATGAAGTCCAACCTATTTTTGAATTAATCACGAAAATATATTTATATATATGTATTTATATACGTTCCTACTCACATAAGCCTCTCTTCTTTCGGAGCTAATAAGTCATTAGGTGTCCTGACTTGAGCTGAAAGTCTTAGTAACTCAGCGGCAGCGCCAGTTTCACGCGGCACACGCTTGCCCTGAATTAGCCAATGCTTCTTAAAATGCCACCCAATATGTTGAGCGCATAGCTGATTAGTAAGCCGCATTAAAATAAGTTATAACTGTCCCTTTTTATAAAGAAAATTTAAAAAGTTAAAATCTACTAGGTAGATTGGTTATGAAATATATATTGGTGATGCGTTGTTATGCAAAACTATCTAGTCAAGAGTTGTGTTCTATATCAATACTGTTCGATATTTTGTATAAAATTATATTCAGAAAACTATCGTCCATTTGGAACAACGAAAAATGGAACATGAGATTAGATTTTTGTTGTTTTCCGCATAATAATAAGTTTAAGAAAATTGGTTATCAAACAGTTTCGTTTAAGCTTTCGTTAATCTGTTAAGACTTGGAATGTTTTTGTAGGTATATATTAGTTGTGCTCTGGAGGAGGACGGTGAACGGAGAAAGCTCAGATTATTTTGAATAAATACTTTGAAATATAATCAAAAGTTGTTTCATTGCCATAGAAATTAATATATAACAATTCCTAAATAATCGTTCCTCATCTAGACGACTCTGCACAGTTAAAGTACAGCAAAAATTGTATAAATCCTTTCGTGAGGAATATACATATGTGCAATAAACGTGTTTTTCCCCTTTTATCCCTCTTCTCGAACCTTTAATAATTTCACAATGTTTGGTTCGATTGTTTGGTTTCTGTTTTCATGCTGTATTTTATGCGTTGTAGTCAGAATACTTCCACATACAACATTTATATATTCCGCTAGGTCCTAACAAGATTAAAAAAAAAAAAGATTTTAAAAGTTGAGACCACAATAAGTCAAGGATACGCTTTTCTAATCCAAACTTCACGATTCCTATTAGACTGAATATAAATTTAATACCGTTGTTCCTTCCAATTGGTAGATCGAATTATTCCTTGCAGGAACCGTTTACGGTCTTATGCTCGGAACATAATTCCCTCTACCATATTATATCCACCACTAATTCTCTTCCTCTTATTAAATTGGCTAATCGTCGTTCACCTTTCTAGTAATTAATAATTGTAGTGGTATTCGTAAATGTATTTTGAATGCATGTTTAGTTTCTTAGTAGTGTAGTGCTAATTTTCCTCGAATATTAGTCTTATAACTATCTTTCCTGCATGTACGCGTTCGGTTCGGCTACGCACCGCGCGTCATGCGGCAGCGCCCCTCGGTCGGTTGGGCGGGAGGAGGGCTGCGATTTGCCTGGGATCCGCGCGTAACAGTAACATAGGTTACTCATCCATATTAAATAGGGAGTAAGCAGATACTCCTTTCAATACAAATATCCCTCACAGAGACGAATTTCTCGATGGATCTCCGGATAAGACCATAAACATCTTCATAGATGGACTTAAGCTGGATGACAAGGTCGGAGGCACTCCTCCAGGGTCCTAGATCACTGTAGCGTCTTCCAAGAGGGAGTAATTGCAATCAGGGAAGCTCTGAGCTTTATTCCATTAGTTACCGTCATGGCAACTCAGTTAAACATTTATACAGCTAAGCTGCTAACAAATTGCGGCTTGCTATTAATGCTATACAGCAAATCTCTTCCCGAGATGGTTCATCAAATTTGCTATCAGCCTTATATGGGTCCCGGGCCACCTGGATATTGAGGGCAATTGTATTGCAGACGAGTTGGACAGATCTGGTACTACAATCCTCCAACTCCAAGACAAGGAGGATATTCGTATGGCAATGGAAAACTGTAGGCTTATCATAAATGAGCAATACTAATAGACGATTTGTGGCAATTAGTGCCACGATGTCGCATAACTCGGCAAACATGGCAGATCATAGATGAAAAAAGCATCTGCTTCTGTCCAGCTCTCAGCAGAAGAAGGCTACAACACTTGGGCTCGACCTTCATAGCTGACATTTCAGAAATGTCAACATGTCTGGGACATATTCCCAGAAAGACAGCAATCTTTGTAAAGTAATCCAGATGGGTTAACTGCCGACCTCAGAGGTACCACAACGAGCCAAAACCGTCCTATTTGTGACTTACTCATAGCGAGCCTGCCAGCAGCCTCTACCTAACCTAACGTAGTTGGTTCGCAATGTTCCGTAACCTAATTGCATTGCGGCTAGGTTGTGAAGGATTTGATATTCTTGGTCACGGTATCTATATCACAAATTTATTTAACATTTTCCACACAATTTTCCGACTTCTTGAAATAACTTTAAATTTGAAACTTTTTTTATATTTTTAAACCAACAATTTTGTATAAGAGTGGGGAAGGGACGGAACTATGGGGTCCGATGTGAGAGGAAAGGAGAGAGAGGTATTTTGTATGTTAGTTTATTTGGATCATTTATGTATATATCTGGTTAGTTTTTATCGCACTCCTTACCGCACACTTTCTTGACCATCGGCCAACTCACCCTTGGGTCCGGCATCGTTGATTCATGATTCCTTTGTTCTCGTCTCTACTCTTACATAGCGGTTCTAATTTCAAAGATGCGAGAAAACAGAAAATGTCGAATCGTAGAGGATGACTATATCTTATAGAATGCAAAATCTGAACCAGATCGTATAATTATTATAGCCAGAATCTGGAAAACAATTTCATTCTCTCTCGCTCTGTCTCTCTCTAACACACAGGTTCCATGGTCAACTTTGCCTATTGGAAAATGTGAGTTCCTAGATCTCAGAGACTTTAAGAGCTAGAACAACCAAATTTGATATCCACACTCCTGTGATATTGGACCCTGACAAGATAGTTTTAAAATTTCGCCGCACTCTGCAATCTTGGTCGTATCGTTTAATATTAGCGGCGTCTGCCGGAGGAGAGCCATACTGACTAAGTATCGGATATAAATTTGGAGTTGCGGTCTCTTCGGTTGAGCGAACACACGACCGTGTCTTACAATAAAAACTTAAAGACAGTGCCTCAAGCGCTCACAGAAAAAGTGTCCGTAGATGAGCAGAACCAAAAAGGTGTCTGCGTAAAGTCTCTTTATTTTTCTGCATTTTTTTGTTTATACAATACATATTTTTATAGATTTAAATTTTTAAAAAATATTTTTGCAAATTTAATGCGAAAACCTAGTTTGATCTCATCTGAATCAAATTTTACTGAGAAATTTGTTAGGTTTTAACTGTTTGTATTTCCGGAAGACGAATACAAAAATAGCTAGTTTTAGAATTGCTTAGACTTTATTAGTAATTTAGGTGTGGTTTTAATTAACTTGAAGCCAGGATTAACCGTGTTCTGTAGATCCGGAATGTTATTCCAATCCTGGGCATGCCTATTCGTTACACCATTATCTGAGATAAGAGTATACCTTTAAAGTATAAAAAAATTTGTTTTTCCAGCCAATGGTGTGCTCGATGCACAATTTATTATGTTATGTGAGGATTGAGGTGCTACTGTACAACTTTTCTTAGAAGTATTTTTGAATAATAATTTAACAGGCGCACAAGTAAAAGTATTATGTAAACTAGCAAAAGGTACTCTCTAAACTTAGAAGACAGCGCAACACAAGTTCGTTGCACATTTCGCACTGGAATACATCTTACGTCTAGTCAATGTTTCATATTTGAAAGAAGTTTAGCATATAGACTACGTTTTCGTTATGATGGAAATTAACGCATACGGTACGTGTTAGATTCTTGAATTTCGGATAGCTCGCCCTTGAAATGTATATCAATAACAAAGTCCAAATCCCGATTGTTTCGATCGTTGGGTTTCATTTGGAACGTGCCTGTTATTTCTTCATTTTTTTTAGCTGTCATATGATCATCTAGATAAAACACAGTTTGCTTCCAATGAGTGTACGTAGAGTCTGGCGATGTGCTAAAGCCTAGACGCTTATGGCACTTGGTAAATTCGATATTAAAATATGTGACTAACGCTTGCACAAAGTCATTTCGTTTGATTGTTAGATTAAACTTGGACGAAAAGTTCAGATCTGCCTTCTGCACCGTATATAGGTCCACTTCTTTAACCAAGCAGGCTGTGGAGACCACTTGCTTAGGGTCAACCACATCCACGAGGGGCTCAGTGACAGCAACTTTGCGTATACAACTCATATCAAAGCCGTAAACATCGTCCCACCAGTTTATCTTCTCGTCCTTGTACTGGCGATCTTCGATAGCTGTAATATAAAGGGTGCCTCTGTCTGGGAACATCATCCCATTGGGTTTCAGCCACTTGTCTCGTGCATACAATACTGTGTCAAGCATAGACTCATAAAAAAGGCAGTATCTGAAAAAAAATTGCGCACATTATTATAAGCCGATGAAAAGAGAAGTTCGGAGCATACCCCATCCATTCAGAGATTATAATGTCAACGCCTTGGATACCATTTGGCAGCTCGATCTCTTCGATTTTTCCCTTAACGACCTTTATAATGTCCTGCAAATTATTGTCTATGACAACTTGTCGTGCGAACTCGATGATATTCGAACAGTCTACGGCTATAACCTGGGCCGCTCCGGCTTTTGCAGCAAACATAGAAAGTATGCCGGTGCCACATCCAACATCTAAAACAATCTGTAATAAATTCCATTTAAAAAATGTGAAAAAAAGCATTTAACTCAATGTCTTCAACAAATCGTACTTTGCCTTGGAACAAATGCTTATTGTGGTACATAGCGTTGCGGTATGTGACGGTGCGCACTTCGTCCTTAAGCATTTCTTCGTGAATACCAAAGTGGGCGTACGAGTCAAAATAATAGTCTCTCGACGTCATTTCATCAGCTTGGGCACTGGATGCATCGGGAGATGCCCCGGCCCCGGCTCCGCTCTGGGAAAACTTTTTAAGCACATTGTTTGATTTAGGTGTGAGGCCGGTCGCACTTTCGATAGCTGATTCCATGGGTATATCTGTAGTGGACTGAGGAATAGCGTTGATTGCCTTTATTTTTAATGGTCCCAATCTACACATATACAACATACCATTTTCGTTATATTTATTACTTCCTTGCTTTTTTTCGCTGAAAAAATTAAAACTCTAAGCGATTGTAAGTACAAAGTGAACGTCGAAAACTATTCACTACACACGCTGCTTTATAAAATTCCTTTACAGCACTTTTCCTAGAGATGGGTTTTTTTTTGGGCATAATTATTAGTGACAGTAGTGGTACTCCCAAAAGTGCCTATATATATATAACGCGCTAAAAAATGTTTGCGCGGTATATTAACAGTGAGATTTGCCGTTATGTTTTACAATGTATATATATATATATATATATGCACCTAATTCTCTTTTTACACGAAATGTATTAGTATTTTGTGAAATATCAATGCAATCAGACGTGTTTGGTAAAGACATTTTTTACACGCAAATTTTTTTCTTGAAAGTGTTCTAATTTTTCCCTAATTTTAATTTTTGGGTTTTAGTGATAGGGAAGCAAACACCTTTTTTGCATACGATCAAAGTATTTTTTTACACGGTTTTTCAGGAACCAATCTACCGTGTAAAGACAGAAATATATACACATTGTAAAACATAACGGCAAATCTCACTGTTAATATATAATTGGGACGATCTATTGCCATCCTACCTATCAGGGGGAAGGTGTCTGTTAAGCCACTAACCATACAGTATGGTTAGTGGTTAAGCTAAGAAACATATATAAAACTGATTTCTTGAAAAATGGATAAACTAACTTAATGGACTAGTATTAGATGCTGTTAAAACTAGGTTGAGTCTTTGGGTTGTTGCGATAAGGCGAAAACGTAATTTAAATGTCTAGTAATGCCAAAAGGTTGTGGTGTTTTGAGAAAATTGCACTCCTTTTCTTCGGAAACTAACAATCAGCCGCCTTTTAAAAAATACTAGAAAATATTTCATAAAAATACTAAAACAAAAAAAAGAGAATACAAATATCGCATACCCGATACTATCTAAGAATGTTCAAGTTGTGTGACGGAGTTAATTTTGGCGGCAAAAATTTATTTCATCGAGGCGTCTAGGTGAAGTTAAGATTTGTCAATAAAAAACCTAATTTTTAAGTTTCTAGAACGAACTAAAAAAAATGGAGGGATTTGATGATGCTGGTGTATTTTTTTCTGATAATTTCGGAAACGATCAGCAGTCGGACTGTGCGCAAATAAATTTGCAAGCGGTCAAGAAAAGATACAAGGAGTTTATTCGGACATTCAACGAAGACAACTTTTTTTATAAATACCGGTAAGCTATAAAGAAATCCCACTTACAAATGGAAGTTTTAAGTACTCTTTTGTAGTGACACATTGAAACGCAACTACCTCAATGGACGCTATTTTCTGGAAATCGAAATGGAAGATTTGGTGGGATTTGATGAGGCCCTTGCCGATAAAATGAACAAACAGCCAACTGAACATCTGCAAATTTTTGAAGAGGCTGCTCTGGAAGTGGCTGACGAAATTACAGCTCCACGTCCCGAGCATGAAGAGCACATGCACGATATCCAAATACTATTGAGCTCCAATGCCAACCCCACCAATATACGTGAACTAAAATCAGAATGCGTGTCGCGCTTGGTTAAAATTGCAGGAATAATTGTGGCCGCATCCGGCATTAGTGCAAAGGCAACAAAAATTTCCATTATGTGCTTGTCGTGCAGCACTGTTATACCAAATCTCAGAGTAAATCCCGGACTAGAAGGCTACGCCCTGCCACGAAAATGCACAACGGAACAGGCGGGACGACCAAAGTGTCCCCTAGATCCGTTCTTCGTAATGCCGGACAAGTGCAAATGCGTGGATTTTCAAACGCTAAAATTGCAAGAGCTACCAGACTTTGTCCCTCAAGGAGAGATTCCTCGACATTTGCAGTTATTCTGTGACCGTTCCCTGTGCGAACGTGTTGTGCCAGGAAATCGTGTTCTCATACAAGGTATTTATTCAATTCGAAAAGTGGGTAAACCCTCTCGTCAGGATGGTCGAGAGAAGGCCGTTGTGGGTGTTCGCGCGCCCTATATGCGGGTGGTGGGCATAACAGTGGATGCAGAGGGGGCTGGTGCCATTTCTCGCTATAGCAATATAACCACCGATGAGGAGGACAACTTCCGACGCATGGCTGCCTCAGGAGATATATACGAACGCCTTTCTCAATCATTGGCTCCTAGTATATTCGGCTCTCGAGACATCAAAAAGGCTATAACTTGCATGCTTTTTGGTGGGTCCCGCAAGCGGCTGCCAGATGGACTGTGTCGACGGGGGGACATCAACGTACTGCTGTTGGGGGATCCAGGTACGGCAAAGTCGCAGCTACTAAAGTTTGTCGAGAAGGTAGCCCCCATTGGCGTGTATACATCAGGAAAGGGATCTAGCGCGGCTGGTCTTACAGCATCGGTTATGAAGGATCCCCAAACGGTAAGCAGGCTTGCAAACTAGTTTGAAAAACTTTCTTTTAGCTTATAATCTTATTCGCTCAGCGCAATTTCGTCATGGAAGGAGGTGCCATGGTGTTGGCTGACGGTGGTGTCGTTTGCATCGACGAATTTGACAAAATGCGTGAAGATGACCGGGTGGCCATACACGAGGCAATGGAACAGCAAACCATCTCCATTGCAAAAGCCGGCATTACAACCACATTAAATTCTCGATGTTCGGTTTTAGCAGCTGCTAATTCTATATTTGGCCGGTGGGACGATACAAAGGGCGAGGAAAATATTGATTTCATGCCCACAATATTATCTCGTTTTGACATGATTTTTATTGTTAAGGACGTACACGATGAGACACGTGATATTACTCTCGCAAAGCACATCATAAACGTGCATCTTAGTTCCAATAAATCTGCACCAACCGAGCCAGCCGAAGGTGAAATATCTTTGTCCACATTTAAAAAGTACATACACTACTGTCGCACCCATTGTGGGCCACGATTAAGTGAAGCTGCTGGCGAGAAGCTTAAGAGCCGCTATGTGCTGATGCGAAGTGGTGCCGGTCAGCAGGAAAAAAATGCAGACAAACGGCTGAGTATTCCGATTACAGTGCGCCAGCTAGAGGCTGTTATTCGAATTTCAGAGTCCTTAGCAAAAATACGCTTGCTTCCTTTTGTCGCCGATGATCATGTCAATGAGGCCCTTCGACTTTTCCAAGTATCGACTCTTGATGCAGCTATGACTGGAAGCCTGGCCGGTGCTGAGGGATTCACCACAGAGGAAGACCAGGAAACTCTTAACCGTATTGAAAAACAATTAAAGCGTCGATTTGCTATCGGATCTCAAGTTTCTGAACAGAATATCTTACAGGTAACAATTCATTCGTATAGAAAAATGAATTTGATTAAAACTTTTCGTTTCGTTCTGCAGGACTTTTTACGTCAAAAGTACGAGGAGCGTACTGTAGTCAAAGTCATTCACACGATGATTCGACGTGGTGAACTTCAGCACAGAATGCAACGCAAGATGCTATACCGCATATGCTAGTTGCCCTTACTAATACTTACTATTATTGTCATTATTTTAGCATCATAAATGAGTAAGCTAATTTTTGTCACTGTACTTTTATTATATGAAAATAATTTAATAAAGAAAATGCTTTTAGGCGTAATACCCATTTACATACTCGGATGGTTATGGGTTTTTAATTCGCCATTTTCCATTTATAAATATAATTTGTGTGCTGTGTGCTTGTACTGTAAAGAATTTGTCGTATATTGTCCTAGTATGACAACTTCGATAAAGTTGTAAGTAGTATGTTATGAAGCTTAGTTGTACGTTGTATGTATTAACATATGTATGTATGTATGTATTCTGGTGTTCATACCCATCACGAAAAAGGTAGCCTTTAGTATTTGGCACAATAGTCGTGGTACATTATTGGAATGATTTGATTCGATTTGAAAAAAATGCATAATTCAAACCTATTATAAGTATCAGTTTGAATGGTATATTCAAAATCGAAATTGCTGGTTGCATAGTATTCCTTACGTCATTCGAGCAATCCACAAAACCAATATTTTCTATTGGCTGCGAGCCAATTTAAAAAATGTTTTTTCTTCTGTTTAAGAACGTTTATTACTTCCTCTTATACAAAACTCAATTAGTACATTTGCGTATGAACAGCTTCGTATGGATGTACATACACGTACATACATACATACATATAATAAATATATAGTATGCATACAGGAACATGTATAAATGTATACATGTATATATACTCGCATATATATTTTCAAAAATAGTGTTATGTATGGGCGTGTATTTTCACTTCGTATAGAGATGGGTATGGGCATTGCCCAGGTTTTTCTTCGTTCCATAACGTATCGGCTACGAACACATTCCGTATAACCAAAGACTATACAATAGTCTATACAATAGTCTTTGGTATAACTCTATTAAGTGAGTGCTGAGCAATCTCCACTGGGACTGAAAGAAGGGTGAAAAAAATCTACTAAATGCATAGAATTCACATTGCCGCGTTAAAGTCTCTCTAACCTTGCAGCTCGACGGCCAGTAAAAGCCTGTTATATTTGTACATATTTATATGTATGATATAGTAGATCGATCGAGGTTGCATCTTACAATATAGCTTTAAAGTTGACGACCTAGTTTGCCTAGAAATAGGAAGATTTAGGACCATGGCTATCGATTCGGATCGTAATCCTGCACAAAAATAAATACCTTCCTATATACTTACTACTTTATAGTACTTTATACTTATACTTTGTAGGATAAAAAAGATTTCCTTGTGTGTGTTGCAGAAATCTGGTCAGTATAAATGTAGGAAGCCAGTAAGTAAGCCAACTTCAGCACGTATACCCTTAAAGCTCGAACAGGCAGTATTATCTTAAGCTCTTGTTGTCTTTAAGATCTTTTTATACCCGATACTCAAGTATAGGAGTATATTAGATTTGTGCGGAAAATGGATATTTGTAACGCCCAGTAAAGTAAAGTATTTATATTCTTGATCAGCAGCAATAGCCGAGTCGGTTGAGCCATGTCTTTCTGTCCGTCTTTGTGTGCATTATGTGGGTCTTCTGGCTGAGTATAGGTTGTATAGGTTGTCTAAAGTTCATCGGAAGGAATAAGATTTCTGGAAGCTAGATCTTAAAATCTATAAATGTATGTCAGAAGACAGAGAGAGTGCGGTTTCTCTATATTGAGTGCTTCTACAATCATATTAACATATGTGCATGTTTGTATGTTTGTGTATTAATGGCTTATTAATAAATTGATACTTTGCCCTTTGCATCGAATCCAGGGTCGAGTTGATTTAATTTAAATTGATATTTCAATATGCATGTTCCTCTACGACTGTATAGATACATACGTACGTACATATGTAGCAACAATCATTCATATTTTTGTACGTACTTTTCAATTACCGCTGACCTGACTGTTGATTGATGATAGGGATGCTGCGCATGCTGTCCACTTCTATTTTTACATGAACAAGTGCATACATACGACAAGCAAAACAAGCGGACTTGCAGGGAGTTATGTAGCGGTGTTTTCAATTGAACCATCCCCAACCACGAATTTTTCAGAAATGAATGTAAGGAAACAAAAACATTAACCGTACATAAGGGAACGTTTTAGTCGTGTGACTCGACTATGATGTACCCCGTGTTCAGTTGGGGATATCAGGGGGAATTCGACTAATGAGTGCCTTAAGGAATGCATTCCACAAATAAAAAGAAACAAATTTTATTTATTAGATATTTAGTAGATATGGTCGAGTAACTGGACAATAAGATATTCGGGTTGGCTTTGAAGAAAGGGGGAGGAAAAGAATTTTGATTCATTTAGTTCTTATATTCTCCGTGATCTGCATTGTTCATACATACGGACCTGACCTGAAATACTGCTCTGACAGTTAGAAAAAATGCAGGAATAGAATATTTCTTCTACTGGGCGCAGGGTTGTTAGAATCTATCTGCTTTTTATTAATAAAAAAAAAACCGCTCTAACGGTAACCAAAAAATTACTCTAACCTTAACAATGAAATTAATCAGATCACAAATCAAGTAGAAAAATGATCACTATATCAGATAAAAGGCCGAAAATTATAAACAGATAACTTAATAAAAACTACGAATATCTTCGATAGCAATAAACTTTCTTATATCGAGTTAACTGTGAATGCTGACCAGAAACCAGGACTATAATACATATATAAACTCTTCAGATACTTTTCGTTCGCATTTCACACTTTTTATCGAAATTAGACTACTCTCTGCAAGGGTATAAATTCGATCTATGAAGTGTAGATATGTACATATGACTACATACATAGATACCATTTAACAAATAAACAAAAACGGGTATGTGTGCATATTTATACATATGTATATAGATTCATATGTATGCATAAATGAATATCGACCATATGGGAGAACGCAAAGGCAGAAGCGCTGAGTGGGGCCTTTGTTTTGTGAATGAAAATGAAAAATTTCATTGTACATTCGGTGAACCCGCGTCTTTTGCATGTCAGTACAATTTTAGATTTCGACCGAGCACGTTCGGGCCTCGAACCAATTTGTGTATTGGTGGCATTAAAACGCGTCTAAAATCACCCGCATACTGGCGCAGTGCTGCTGAAGATCATGTACATTTACCCAAGCTCCCCGGAAACTTCATCGTCCTTGCAGTCTGAAGAAATTGCAGCCATTAAGATACAAGCAGGATTCCGTGGCTATCGTGTTCGCAAACAGGCTCACCAGTCAACAAAACCCGCTAATAGCAACAGATTCGGAAACAGGTTTTTAAATTTGCAAAGCAAACGGAACCAAAACCAGCGCCATCGTCCCAATAATAGCGCCCATATAGAGCACCAAATGAATTCCACCCGTTATGATGACTCGATTTCAGCAAAAGAGGAAAACGCTGCGAAATCAGTTGAAGATCGTTGTGCTACGAAAATTCAAGCCGGATTTCGAGGATTTCTTGTTAGAAAGAAACAAAAAATGGCCACAGAAGCAGCTGTGAAAATTCAGGCTGGTTTTCGCGGTTTTAGGGCTCGCAAGGAATTAAAGCAGACATAAGGAAACACCACAACGAGTCAACTACGGGTAGACTTGTGTTATTTAATAGATTTCATGTACAGTAGTATGTATGTACTACTACAAAATTTGTAGTTTCGAGTTTTTTTTTATGTAAATTCGTTTAAGTTATAGTTTATGCATTGTAAATAGTTATATATTAACATACACTTAGTATAAAATAAAAAATAAATCACTATTAGACGACTAGTCTTCAAGGCTATAAATGCACTTGTTTATTTTCGGCTAACATACTAAAATCATTCTATAAAGGTATATGTACCCAGGATATATGAATATATGTACATAAATAAATGTACGAGATGTACAAAGTCACATTCCTACCCATACTACTGTAGCAAATTTTGTTGGAAGTCGATGAAATTATAAAAAAGAAAGGAATGCTAGTTTCGGGGTCCGAAGTTTTTTGCCCGTTTCTATATGAGCTTTATGATTGATTGTGCGGAGACCGCAACTCTTCATTTATATATAACCGATACTTAGTCAGTATGGCTCTCCTCCAGCAGACGCCGCTAATATTTAAAGACACGACAAAGAGTGCGTGCGATGTGGATGCCACAGATTTTCGTTCTTTGTGGGCGCGGAAGTGGGCGGGCGAAGTTTTGAAATATTCTTGTAACAGTGACATATCACAGAAGTCTGGATCCAAAACATCGTTGCTCTAGCTTTTATAGTCTTTGAGCACTAGGCGCTAATAAGGACGGACAGACGGACAGACAGACAGGGCTCAATCGACTCGGCTGATCAATAATATATATACTTGATGGAAACGATGAAACGATTCCTTCTGGACGTTACACACATCTATTTTCACCACAAATCTAATATACCCCAAAACTCATTTTGAGTATGGGGTATAAAAAAATAAAACTGCAGTGTTTGATGGAATATATTAGCTCCCTAAGCGGAACTTTCCCGGCAATGACTAGCGCTGCTTCGTCCGAGATGATCCGGAACGAGCACGCGATCATAATGGCGCACAATCTGTACGTTGCCTCCACTCCTCGCATTTAGCTCATCAATTTCGCGGCTTATGCCCACACTGGTGCGGCGTAGAGCATCTGCGACCTTCCTCGTTGCTTGTTTTGGTCCTCTGGTGTTTAGCAGCATCCTGGATAGCGCTCCTGCGGTCCCACCGGTCTTCGTGTGGACGTATTCCAGGTGCTCCTTGAAGGACAGGCTAGGGGTCGATAGGGACTCCTAGGTACTTGATGGACCTCTGCGAATTGATCGCGGTCCCACCAACCTGCACTCTGGCGGTCTCGCAACTTTACCCATGCGTCCACGCTCTATGATTTCTAGAACTCAATAAAAGTTCTCGGAGATTTTTAACTTCTACCCTCACTAGTACATCTAGCTAATCCTATCCTATTCCTTATATCCCCAATAACGGATCCCAGTTCCCCCCATTTCACCATACTCCAGCCTCCCTGGAATTCTGATAGGTGGCGCGTCGCCCTCAGCCCTGGGCCAACTATCTCTCAGGTGAGACTGGAACACAGGTGAAGACGCGCTTGTAATAGGGTAGATTGCAAATAAGCTAAGAATTCTTTAAGGGTTCTCGTGACATCTAGGAAACCGATGGAGGAAAGTGAAATTTTCCTAATGAAATAACCAGTTTCAATGGTTAAGGTTAAGAAGACGTGATCCGCATCTTCGACAGCTCTTGCGAATTCTTCATCAATAAGGAAGACAAACTCACCCACATCTGGTAGATTGTGGTCCGTGTACTAACGTATCCACATCCGGTCGTCGTCAATTGCGTATATTGGAAATTCATGATTAAATTCATTCTTAACGTCAAATTTGAACCATAAATTACAATATGCAAAACAAGAATCTTATACAGTATATTCTATGGTAATCCGTTGAATTCGTTAGAAATACTAATTGGTTTAGTCATAGCTCTAGAAGGAACTTAAAAAACCAATATCTCTGGGTAGAACAATTGCAAAAATAGGATAATGCAAATGGGATGGGTTCAGGTAACAAAAACTTAAAGTAACGGAACTAGTATACAGAGCCTAAATCGAAATGGATAGATCCGTCAATGGTGAAGCATGAGATGTGTGGGGGGTGGAGTAGCTGTGCTTATAATTTAAAGAGCTCTGCCGGCAGGGCAGATCCTGACGAAGTTATTATAGCATACAGATAGGGCTCAATACCTAAAAAACGATAAAGCAGAGCTTGGTATCTAGTATGCACCCGATTCGTTCGGTTAGTACCGATTTAACGTTATTTTTAACTATTTAAAAATATCCTTGTTGGGAGCAGCAGCTGGCAACAAGATCTTTCTTCAATAGAATTCAGGTCGTTGCGCTTCTATCATGGCTCGCTCTTAATTATCTAACGCTTGCTCGCTAATCAAAGATTATGCTTTTCTGTCCAGCAAGACATTTAGGCGTCAAATCCGTAAATTATAGCCAGTGATCCACATTAACGTAGAAAACCATTATTTTTCGCTATTTGCACTGCCCTCTGTACAAAATCATTGTTTTACTGCATATGCCTTGCCTCTCTCTCTGCCCTCTTCGTTCCCATCTATCGTTCATTCTCGGCTTAGCTGCACATTAAGCTTCTCTAGCGGTCTCCTTCTATATATCTTTTTCGATCGCTCACCAAGAACCTGCTAGATTTTTGATTTAAAACTCAACAGCTATTAAAAACACTTACAAGCTTAACAGAAGCTTATAAAAATACTTCCGATTAATACAATATACTAAAAACATTTATACGTACATATATACTTGATCATTTATTTGAACAAAGTTTATCATAAATATGGGTCGAGCTATTTGGATGCCATTTTCTTATATTCTGCGCTTTTGATACGTTTTTTTTTGTGCTTAGGAATAACTCTTAAAATATTGCAATCAATTTGTACTGGCATTGAGTTCTGCCTTAATGTCAACCATTTTAGTTCCATGCTAGATTTCAATTTTACACCATCACCTGCTAAAAATATGAAACAGAAATATAATATAGAAAAGGCAAAGTTATTCAAATTTCAAAAGAATTAAAGCAAGGTTTTTTGTACTAAACTTTAAGTCGTAAACTGCATATAGTATGTATGCAAATTAATGGAAAACGAGGGGGAATATTGTGAGTTGCTGCGGAGACCGCAACTCTATTTTTTCCCACTATTTTTCTACTATTGCAGTACTGTATGTATTTACATATGTATATAGTACTTATTGGGAAAGAAATTATCAGCTTCAAACAAATGGACTATCTTATACATATGTACATAGAAAAAATCAGAAGTATACAGATCCCTAAAAAACTCTTTTAGATACCAATTTAATATGAAATATATTTCTTTAACATATGTGCACCTTACCCTTTTCTTTGTTTCGTAGTGACTTTGGGAGTTTTTGTGTATGTCCACCATTGGTAAGAGGAATGTTATCTTCATCAGGCGTCGAGTCATTCCGAAGCGCGTCCCCGCGCTGCAATTTTTGACGCCTGGCGGCTAAATTGCTTTCTAAGCTGATACCTTGCATTTTTCGATTATGTCCTTTAAGTTTTCTTGTGTGTATACGATATGCGGCTTGTATTTTTTTCGCAGCTTCTTCCTCAATGAGTCGCTCAAAAGATTCGCTAATGGCAGCGTTTCCAAAGGATGCCTTTGTCTCTTGGGTTGAGGATTTAGTACCGGCACTAGCGCGTCGCATTCGTCGCCTGGTAAGAAACCCACGAGCTCCCGCTTGTATTTTCGTGGCCGCCGATACAATTGTAGATTCAGTTTCAGTAGATGTGCCCAAAATGTCTGCCATAGCCGTGTTTATTTCAAAGTTCTCTTGGTTAATATTTCTTGGGTCAATGCAATCTGAATCCGTTTCAGATAGCGAAAAGGCCAACATTTTCTTGCGAATGTTTTCCGAAATTTCGTCGTCTAAAAATAAACTGTTAGTGCTGTTGATGCTAGAAGCAGTCATAAGATCTTTGCTACCAATTTCTATATCATTTCTAGCATCTTCAAGGGTGACAGACCTAAACATGCCTCTGGGATCGTCTCCAGCGATTGTGTAATGACGTATCAGCGGTGCCCTTGCAGATTCTTCTTCGCTGTTACTATCTTTAATTTGGAATTTTTCTGACTCAACATCACCGAAAACCACAGAGTCACTTTGGGCAGAACTTTCTCTGGTTTCATTAAGCTGCATTTGGTTGTATACAATAATTTCACCTTCTTCAATGCTGGCTTGTTCTTTCAAAGAATCTATAGTCCTTATTAATGGTTCATCGTAAGAGTTCAAAAAAGCTGGATGATTTGAAATTTGTTTAACATCTTCATCGGATGTGGATGTCTTAGGTGAGACATTTTCTTGTTTTATCTCAGAGAATGGCTCTAAGGCAATGGCTTCATTTGTAAGAGAATCTGAAATTTCCTTATTATTGCAGTCATCTGATAATATTTGATTTTTCGTTTTGCATTCATAATTATGAACAACTGAAGAATTTTTTTGTATACAAAGTTCTTCTATTGCTTCTTTTTGCGTGTTAGAAACTAGTTCTTTCTCGGTAATAGATGTCACATCTTTTAGAGGGGAGCTATTTAGTTGCTCTTGGGATGATACGACTTCTACAAGAACATATATTAAATTAAAAGAGAACATCTTTTTTGTCATCTACTTTACAGTACAAACAATATTTACTTACCATGATTTGAGGCGCCAGCATCTGATAATAAAAATATTCCTGGATCCCCAGCTGAGCCAACCACAGCACTAGATTCGTGTAGTATTAAACCTGACAAACCATTAGAGACTTCAGTATCAATATCAGATTCATTAATTCAAATCTCGTCAAGAATTTCAGAACTTAAACTTTATTAAAAGGGGCCATGCATTTTAGCTAAATTTTATGTGCAATTACAGTTTGATTAGGATAATTGACTTGGTATTATCCGCATTGATCCTACAAATTTTGGATCTAAAATTTGACTTTTTTGCGTAGGTCCCCGAGAGATCCGTTTTTCCCAATAAAGCTTCTTTCTACACCCGTTTCTTAGCTTGAATTTGTAGTTGTTAGTAATTTCTAGTAATTTGTAACATTTATTTTTTAAAGGTTTTACAAGTGGTTTTTCGTTTCTTCTGTGCTGTTTCTGTTTCTTTCAAAGACTATGTTTTTAAAGCCTAAGGAACAACGTGCATTTAAATTGTATTAACGTGTCCTTTTTTGCGTTAAGATTAAAACTATTTGCTTTCCGTAGACTTCTGGAGTGTGCAGGCCAATTAGTGTGAGTTTGGAAATGTCAGTATTATATATGGAGAATGTGAATTATATGAATTAGTCTTATTCTATGTAGATGGTGTTAATGACTCTTCTCGGACGACTTTGGTTCTACTACTTAAATCAAAGAGACGTCCCCCGGAAATATTTTCATCATTCATTAAGTCATATTCTTTTGTACCAACTATATCTGTCTTACCCAATTCAAGTTCTGTAACTCTGTTATCAGTTATGATATCACTTTCATTAAGTTCAAGTATAGTTTGCAGCTTGGCTACTCCTGGTTGTTGTTGGTAATCCGGATCTGCCGTTGGATCTTCAATCTCTCTATATTCATTAATTATCAAATGCGGGCCCAACAAATTTGAGCGTGAACTATCGTCCAAAGGAATTAGTTTGTCGATTTGACCGTGTTTATTTGTTTTGAAAGGAGCCTTGTTTGATACTTTGTACCTGCGATTTCCATTATCCGATTTATCGAATGAAATAAAATATGAAATTGCTCTCTTAACTTTAGGTACTTCGGTTTCTGTGCTCATATTAGATGCAATTTTTCCAAGGTCCTTGATGGGAACTTCTCTTGTGTTTTTTACTTCGCCAGTGTCTGCGTAAGCCAATGATTGATTCGTCTCGAAATCTGTATAAATTTCGTACCAGGTCCCTTTGTCGGTGAGACTTTTGAATGACTTAAGCTGCAGCTCAGCAACAGGTCTAGGTATGAAACGACTGTTCTGAACGGAGCCAATTTCTTTGTGTTTGAGCTTAGGGATAGGCAACTTAGCTGTTTTTTTATTTTTAATCTCAATAGTGTCGTTGTTAAAATTGTGGGTGCCAAATAATTGATTAGATACAAGCACTGTAGAACCTTTCTGCTAATTTAAAAAAAAAATTATAACATATTTGCGCTATTAACTCTTACCAGTATTTACATCCGGTCTATACTGAACAGCACCTTTGTGTAAAAATATTAAAAAATACAAGAAATGATTGTATGGTTTTCCATTTTCCAACAGTTGATAAAAGCTAATTTCGGAATTCCGACATTTCCTTTTTAAGACAATAGACTATTAAACATGGTCGTAAATACGGATGATGTTAAGCTCTGTATCCAGTGCAAGGACATTTCATTTCATTCTCGCTTGCAATCCGATCTTAATAACTTTCAGTCATAGTGTTGTACAAACTTGTTACACCTTAATGCCTCGAAATGCAAAGTCATGACATTTCATCGTTCTTGCCCCTTGTTGGCTCCTTCGTATGGTGCCCTTAGTACAAAGTACACCAGGGCCGTATGGAATCAGAACAGAAAATCTGTTTACTCTTTGCTCTGCGGGGCCTTAACTGGGATGCGGGTGTAAGAATCCCATCTTACTCTAGTAGACTACTGTTAGTAAACCTCCCATCCTTAGTTAACCGTAGAAAAATGCCTGGTGTAATTTTTGTGCACAACTTGATCAGGGGTGACATAGAGAGCCCAGATCTGTTGGGCCGCATAATCTTCACGATTCCTATTAGACTCACTAGAAATTTTATACCTTGGTTCCTTCCACTTTGTAGATCGAATTATTCCTTGCATGAACCGTTTACGGTCTTATGCTCGGAACATAATTCCCTCTACCATATTATATCCACCACTAATTCTCTTCCTCTTAAATTTTTAATCCTTACACACCTTTCTAGTAATTATTAATTGTAGTGATATTTGTAAATGTATTTTGAATGCATGTTTAGTTTCTTAGTAGTGTAGTGCTCATTTTCCTCGAATATTAGTCTTCCTTGCATGTTCGCGTTCGGTTCGGTTACGCACCGCGCGTCATGCGGCAGCGCCCCTCGGTCGGTTGGGCGGGAGGAGGGCTGCGATTTGCCTGGGATCCGCGCGTAACAGCCTTCTGCTGGTGTCACACGGGCCACTTGACGGTGCATAAATTGCATCGCCTCTTGTAAGATGCAGTCATTGCATGTCAACGTCCAAGCAATAGTCTTTGAGCACTAACCGCTCATAGGGACGGACGGACAGACGGACAGACAGACATGGCTCAATCGACTCGGCTGATCAAGAATATATGTATGGAATATATTTGTGGGGTCGGAATCGCTTCCTTTCACATCCACTTTCACCACAAATCTAATACACCCCTATACTCATTTTGAGTATCGGGTATAAATAATAGAGGTCTACCATAATAAACACCCTCTTCACATAGTGTGATGTGAATCTGCAGCGCAGAAATTTCGAATCCCATATGTTTTCTTTTAACGGCCAACACATCGGATTAGCCAGTATCATCAGAGTCATTTTTACTTGATACTCAGAAAAACATAACATTTAGATCTCACCCCAAAAAAATTTGATTAAAAAAAACTTACTGGTATCGTCATCTTTAAAATTTATTTGTAATCCATTGGGTCGTTCTCCATTTTCTGATAATGCATTATCATCTATTCCAGTTACACTCCTTTCTGTGTTTAGATGTTTATTTACATAGGTTTCATATAACTGTAAAATGTCACTTACTGGTCAAATTCGACATTGTATTGCTAGTAGGATCATCTGTAAGATAAATTAATTCAAAATCACAATTTTCATTCAATTAATTTTATCTTCATGTTTCAGAAGGTGTGAGGTGAAGGTGAGACCGCAATTGCAGTAGGGAACGAAATATTATCCTTGGGAAGGGGCAGAACTAACAGGAGTTGCAATTCCTTGCTCACCTGGAAAACGATGCTTAGATTCAGAAATTTCGGACCCAATTACTATGTTTTGTTCATCTTTATCAGGTAAAACATCGAACTCTTTCTCGGCACCATTATCTTTATTTGTTTTTCCGGCTGAAAAAATAATAAATAGAAGAAATTCCCACTTCGAAATACTTGATTGAAAAAACTTACTGGCATTGTCCTCATGTTCCAAATTTTTTTGTGGTTCATTGTGTTGTTCAGACACAGGATGCGTTACAATATCAAAATCTCCGTTTTCGGATAACGAATTATCAACTATTTCAGATATACTCCTTTCTGTATTTAGATGTAGATATATTATTTATGTTTCATATATGATATGTAATTGAAAGAATAACTTACTGGTCAACTCCGATAGTTCTATGACGCCTGGAATTTCATTGATTATAAGATCGTCTGTAAAATAAATCCATTACCAAAAATTACCATCTAATTCCTTTGGAGGGGCAGAACTGACAGGAATTTCGACGTCTTGTTCACCTGAAAATCTATGTCCAGATTCAGAAATTTCGGACCCAATTACTATGGTTTGTTCATCTTTATCAGGTAAAACATCGAACTCTTTCTCGGCGCCATTATTTTTATTTGTTTTTGCGGCTGGAAAAAATAATAAATAGAAGAAATTCCCACTTCGAAATACTTCATTGAAAAAACTTACTGGCATTGTCCTCATCTTCCAAGGTAAGTCCATGTTGTTGTTCAGAAACAGGATGCTTTATATTATCCGATTCTCCATTTTCGCATAATGAATTATCAACTTTTTCAGATATACTAATTTCTGTATGTAGATGTATATTATTTATGTTTCATATATGATATGTAATTTTAAGAATAACTTACTGGCCAAATCCGATAGTTCTATGACGCCTGGAATTTCATTGATTATAAGATCGTCTGTAAAATAAATCCATTAAAAATAAAATAATATATATAGTGACATATCCATAATTCTCCACTGCACATGCACATTATGTTTATGTCCAATTCACCCACCCCATCCACAAAAGTAAGAGGACACCACTCAATAACTGATTCTTCCCACAGTCATTGTCCAAGTCCCATAATATAAACAATGGGCCCCATTGATTCATTAACGCCAGAATCCCGCCACTCTCGAGAAACCGATTCTTTAGAATCACGCCACTCATGAGGACCAATCAGAGCTATTCATAAAACCAAGGAGTCTCACATTCCTAGCTCCCTCATGTAATGCAACACCGATCGCCAGCAGCGGATGCCTTTCATCAAAGCCGACGCCACCGACACGAAGACGCAGCCGAGGAAAGCAATGCCCGAAGCCAGAGTCGAGAGCTCCAAGAGAAGGGCTCATGGAAACTAGCCAACAATAGAGAAATCAGTTCCGTTTGAGACAAGCAGTCCCACAGTCAAGTCGGGGAACTCATTTATATCTAGTGACATAAAGATATTAAGTTTTTAAAATAAAAATCTTTTTTACAAATTTAAAATCGAGTTGCGGATATTTAACTATATGTATATATGTACATATCTCGTCTCTCGGTGTTTGTGGTTCTGTTCTTTCCGAACGGCTAAACCGATTTTTATAAAATTTTGTTTGTCTATTACTGCGATAAGGTATTTAACTATTTTCACACCATCCAACATTGAGTTCGAGCCAGATATTGAAAATTCCGCTCACCCGAAATTGCTGTTTGATGCTGTGGACAAAGAATGTCGACATTGTCATGCGTTCAAATTCTCACATGAGTTAGAAGACAATGCATCCGGAATAATGCAGGCATCTACATATATTTGAAAAACCAACAGAATCATTCGCTCATTCAATTCATGATTGCAAATTACATCTTTCGTAGCAACAGTTCGCAGTACTGCAGTAAATTGTCTACCGCTTCAGCCAGTTCTTCTTATATATAAAAATTACAACTTCATACATTAGAAGGTGTCCTAATAAGAGATTGTTTATGAGCTTGTGAAAAGTATTGTGACTATCGTTTCATTCATTCCCCTCAATGCAGAATTGGCCATCCCAAAATAACAGTCACACGTAATAACATTTGCAGCAGAAAAGGAAAAATTACCATCTAATTCCTTTTGAGGGGCAGAACTGACAGGAATTTCGACGTCTTGTTCACCTGGAAATCTATGTCCAGATTCAGAAATTTCGGACCCAATTACTATGGTTTGTTCATCTTTATCAGGTAAAACATCGAACTCTTTCTCGGCACCATTATCTTTATTTGTTTTTCCGGCTGAAAAAAATAATAAATAGAAGGAATTCCCACTTCGAAATACTTGATTGAAAAAACTTACTGGCATTGTCCTCATCTTCCAAGGTAAGTCCATTTTGTTGTTCAGAAACAGGATGCGTTATAATATCCGATTCTCCATTTTCGCATAATGAATTATCAACTTTTTCAGATATACTAATTTCTGTATGTAGATGTATATTATTTATGTTACATATATGATATGTAATTTTAAGAATAACTTACTGGTCAAATCCGATAGTTCTATTAGGCTTGGAATTTCATTGATTTTTAGATCGTCTGTAAAATAAATCCATTACAAATAAAAATATATATATATGCATATCTCTTCTCCCGGTGTTTTTGATCTTATCTTTCCATACAGCTAATCCGATTTTAAAAAATTTTGTTTGTCTATTACTTAGGACTGCGATAAGGTATTTAACTATTTTCACACCATCCAACATTGAGTTCGAGCTAGATATTGAAAATTCCGCTCATCCGAAATTGCTGTTTGATGCTGTGGACAAAGAATGTCGACATTGTCATGCGTTCAAGTTCACACATGAGTTAGAAGATAATGCATCAGGAAAAATGCAGGCATCTACATATATTTGAAAAACCAACAGAATCATTCGCTCATTCAATTCATGATTGCAAATGACATCTTTCGTAGCAACAGAAACTGCAGCAAATGGTTTGCCGGGTCAGAAAGTTCTTTTTATATAATTAATTACAACTTCATATTTCAGAAGGTGTGCTAATAAATGATTGTTTATGAGCTTGTGAAAAGTATTGTGACTATCGTTTCATTCATTCCCCTCAATGCGGAATTGGCCATCCCAAAACAACAGTCACACGTAATAACATTTGCAGCAGAGAACGAAGAATTACCATCTAATTCCTTCGGAGGGGCAGAACTGACAGGAATTTCGACGTCTTGTTCACCTGAAAATCTATGTCCAGATTCAGAAATTTCGGACCCAATTACTATGGTTTGTTCATCTTTATCAGGTAAAACATCGAACTCTTTCTCGGCACCATTATCTTTATTTGATTTTCCGGCTGAAAAAAATAATAAATAGAAGAAATTCCCACTTCGAAATACTTGATTGAAAAAACTTACTGGCATTGTCCTCATCTTCCAAGGTAAGTCCATTTTGTTGTTCAGAAACAGGATGCTTTATATTATCCGATTCTCCATTTTCGCATAATGAATTATCAACTTTTTCAGATATACTAATATCTGTATGTAGATGTATATTATTTATGTTTCATATATGATATGTAATTTTAAGAATAACTTACTGGCCAAATCCGATAGTTCTATGACGCCTGGAATTTCATTGATTATAAGATCGTCTGTAAAATAAATCCATTACCAAAAATTACCATCTAATTCCTTTGGAGGGGCAGAACTGACAGGAATTTCGACGTCTTGTTCACCTGAAAATCTATGTCCAGATTCAGAAATTTCGGACCCAATTACTATGGTTTGTTCATCTTTATCAGGTAAAACATCGAACTCTTTCTCGGCACCATTATCTTTATTTGTTTTTCCGGCTGGAAAAAATAATAAATAGAAGAAATTCCCACTTCGAAATACTTGATTGAAAAAACTTACTGGCATTGTCCTCATCTTCCAAGGTAAGTCCATTTTGTTGTTCAGAAACAGGATGCTTTATATTATCCGATTCTCCATTTTCGCATAATGAATTATCAACTTTTTCAGATATACTAATTTCTGTATGTAGATGTATATTATTTATGTTTCATATATGATATGTAATTTTAAGAATAACTTACTGGCCAAATCCAATAGTTCTATGACGCATGGAATTTCATTGATTATAAGATCGTCTGTAAAATAAATCCATTACCAAAAATTACCATCTAATTCCTTTGGAGGGGCAGAACTGACAGGAATTTCGACGTCTTGTTCACCTGAAAATCTATGTCCAGATTCAGAAATTTCGGACCCAATTACTATGGTTTGTTCATCTTTATCAGGTAAAACATCGAACTCTTTCTCGGCACCATTATCTTTATTTGTTTTTCCGGCTGGAAAAAATAATAAATAGAAGAAATTCCCACTTCGAAATACTTCATTGAAAAAACTTACTGGCATTGTCCTCATCTTCCAAGGTAAGTCCATTTTGTTGTTCAGAAACAGGATGCTTTATATTATCCGATTCTCCATTTTCGCATAATGAATTATCAACTTTTTCAGATATACTAATTTCTGTATGTAGATGTATATTATTTATGTTTCATATATGATATGTAATTTTAAGAATAACTTACTGGCCAAATCCGATAGTTCTATGACGCCTGGAATTTCATTGATTATAAGATCGTCTGTAAAATAAATCCATTACCAAAAATTACCATCTAATTCCTTTGGAGGGGCAGAACTGACAGGAATTTCGACGCCTTGTTCACCTGAAAATCTATGTCCAGATTCAGAAATTTCGGACCCAATTACTATGGTTTGTTCATCTTTATCAGGTAAAACATCGAACTCTTTCTCGGCACCATTATCTTTATTTGTTTTTCCGGCTGGAAAAAATAATAAATAGAAGAAATTCCCACTTCGAAATACTTCATTGAAAAAACTTACTGGCATTGTCCTCATCTTCCAAGGTAAGTCCATTTTGTTGTTCAGAAACAGGATGCGTTATAATATCCGATTCTCCATTTTCGCATAATGAATTATCAACTTTTTCAGATATACTAATTTCTGTATGTAGATGTATATTATTTATGTTACATATATGATATGTAATTTTAAGAATAACTTACTGGTCAAATCCGATAGTTCTATTAGGCTTGGAATTTCATTGATTTTTAGATCGTCTGTAAAATAAATCCATTACAAATAAAAATATATATATATGCATATCTCTTCTCCCGGTGTTTTTGATCTTATCTTTCCATACAGCTAATCCGATTTAAAAAAATTTTGTTTGTCTATTACTTAGGACTGCGATAAGGTATTTAACTATTTTCACACCATCCAACATTGAGTTCGAGCTAGATATTGAAAATTCCGCTCATCCGAAATTGCTGTTTGATGCTGTGGACAAAGAATGTCGACATTGTCATGCGTTCAAGTTCACACATGAGTTAGAAGATAATGCATCAGGTAAAAAGCAGGCATCTACATATATTTGAAAAACCAACAGAATCATTCGCTCATTCAATTCATGATTGCAAATGACATCTTTCGTAGCAACAGAAACTGCAGCAAATGGTTTGCCGGGTCAGAAAGTTCTTTTTATATAATTAATTACAACTTCATATTTCAGAAGGTGTGCTAATAAATGATTGTTTATGAGCTTGTGAAAAGTATTGTGACTATCGTTTCATTCATTCCCCTCAATGCGGAATTGGCCATCCCAAAACAACAGTCACACGTAATAACATTTGCAGCAGAGAACGAAGAATTACCATCTAATTCCTTTTGAGGGGCAGAACTGACAGGAATTTCGACGTCTTGTTCACCTGGAAATCTATGTCCAGATTCAGAAATTTCGGACCCAATTACTATGGTTTGTTCATCTTTATCAGGTAAAACATCGAACTCTTTCTCGGCACCATTATCTTTATTTGATTTTCCGGCTGGAAAAAATAATAAATAGAAGAAATTCCCACTTCGAAATACTTCATTGAAAAAACTTACTGGCATTTTCCTCATTTTCCAAGGTAAGTCCATTTTGTTGTTCAGAAACAGGATGCTTTATATTATCCGATTCTCCATTTTCGCATAATGAATTATCAACTTTTTCAGATATACTAATTTCTGTATGTAGATGTATATTATTTATGTTTCATATATGATATGTAATTTTAAGAATAACTTACTGGCCAAATCCAATAGTTCTATGACGCCTGGAATTTCATTGATTATAAGATCGTCTGTAAAATAAATCCATTACCAAAAATTACCATCTAATTCCTTTGGAGGGGCAGAACTGACAGGAATTTCGACGTCTTGTTCACCTGAAAATCTATGTCCAGATTCAGAAATTTCGGACCCAATTACTATGGTTTGTTCATCTTTATCAGGTAAAACATCGAACTCTTTCTCGGCACCATTATCTTTATTTGATTTTCCGGCTGGAAAAAATAATAAATAGAAGAAATTCCCACTTCGAAATACTTCATTGAAAAAACTTACTGGCATTTTCCTCATTTTCCAAGGTAAGTCCATTTTGTTGTTCAGAAACAGGATGCTTTATATTATCCGATTCTCCATTTTCGCATAATGAATTATCAACTTTTTCAGATATACTAATTTCTGTATGTAGATGTATATTATTTATGTTTCATATATGATATGTAATTTTAAGAATAACTTACTGGCCAAATCCGATAGTTCTATGACGCCTGGAATTTCATTGATTATAAGATCGTCTGTAAAATAAATCCATTACCAAAAATTACCATCTAATTCCTTTGGAGGGGCAGAACTGACAGGAATTTCGACGTCTTGTTCACCTGAAAATCTATGTCCAGATTCAGAAATTTCGGACCCAATTACTATGGTTTGTTCATCTTTATCAGGTAAAACATCGAACTCTTTCTCGGCACCATTATCTTTATTTGTTTTTCCGGCTGGAAAAAATAATAAATAGAAGAAATTCCCACTTCGAAATACTTGATTGAAAAAACTTACTGGCATTGTCCTCATCTTCCAAGGTAAGTCCATTTTGTTGTTCAGAAACAGGATGCGTTATAATATCCGATTCTCCATTTTCGCATAATGAATTATCAACTTTTTCAGATATACTAATTTCTGTATGTAGATGTATATTATTTATGTTACATATTATTTATGTTTCATATATGATATGTAATTTTAAGAATAACTTACTGGTCAAATCCGATAGTTCTATTAGGCCTGGAATTTCATTGATTTTTAGATCGTCTGTAAAATAAATCCATTACAAATAAAAAAATATATATATGCATATCTCTTCTCCCGGTGTTTTTGATCTGTTCTTCCCAAACGTCTAATCTGATTTAAAAAAATTTTGTTTGTCTATTACTTAGGACTGCGATAAGGTTTTTAACTATTTTCACACCATCCAACATTGAGTTCGAGCCAGATATTGAAAATTCCGCTCACCCGAAATTGCTGTTTGATGCTGTGGACGAAGAATGTCGACATTGCAATGAAGACAATGCATCAGGAAAAATGCAGGCATCTATATTTGAAAAACCAACAGAATCATTCGCTCATTCAATTTATGATTGCAAATGACATCTTTCGTAGCAACAGAAACAGTTCACAGTACTGCAGTAAATTGATTGCCGGGTCAGCAAGTTCTTTTTATATGATTTATCACAACTTCATATTACAGAAAATGTGCTATTAAGTGATTGTTTATGAGCTTGTGAAAAATATTGCGAATATTGTTATATTCATTTCCCCTTAATGTGAAATTGGTCATCGCGAAGCAACAGTCACACGTAATAACATTTTCAGTAGAGCCATGGACTTGGCTTCCGCCACGAGTTGCCATATAAATACAAAAAATACATGTTAGTTAACTCCTTCCACAAATATTTCCTATAAATCAATAAGCTTGTTTGATCGCCGCGTCACACACAATTCGAGGCGATCTATAGAGGCGATCAGCTGTTTGCGGTTTTGTTACTGTCGGGGCAAAGCTGTTGGTCCCATAAGTACAACGTCGGTCACTAATCTCGGTGAAGTTACGTTAATAAACTATTCACCCTATCCATTGTACTTCATGCTTCCCCCCATCCATGCCAGTCTGACGCAAAGAATTATAGAGCTATGTATATCTAAGTTTTCCGATACTCTCAAAATGTTTGAGAAAATTTAAACACCGCACCTGCAACATACCAACAAGTCGCTTATATTTCCAGTTAAGCTTGAAGTTATAAGGCGGATGTTTAAACATGAACATATTATCGTCAAAACCATGCCAATTTCGGCCCCCTTGCAGAATGTTCAAGCATAAACATATTATTGTACTCATTCACTCATGTATCGAAAAAACTGATTTCATAGGGATTTTGAGTATCGGATATAAATATTCAGGATGTGACCCAGAAAGCAGTGTGGCTATAAAAGGTAAATCTTCAAGGTAGAGACTCTAACGCAGTGCAGGGACCCTGTTCCTCAATCGAATATTGGAGAAGCATTGCTTAGGGACTCGGAAAAAGATTTCAGAGATCGTTCTTCCTCACGGACCTTTTCTATGAATCAGAGCTCTCCTTTTTTACTGATTAATAAACATTTGCCTGCCACATTGGTCTGACAAACATTTGTTTGTAAATTTGTGATGAAAAAAATAAAATGTAATGCATTCGTTAGCTTCTCACACTGTTAAAATGTAAAGTTTTTACCGTTTTTCTGCCCTTTCGTCGAGTTTTCGTCTTTTTTAATAGCAGCATACTCGTTTTCAAGAATTAGGCAAGGGTTATTGTTCTCTACTTCCTCCTGCATCTTTATTGTGTTTTGGATAACGTCTTCAAAATTGGTATTAACAAAATCTTTGTGCTCAGTGGTCGAATCGGTTGATAGGGGTGCCGTCGATATAGAATTGTATGAACATGTCTCAGAATAAATATCGTTTAACTCTTCACGATTATCTACAACGTCAGGCACATTTCCCTTGACCCTCCGCGCATCAACCATCCTTCGAAATGCTCTTTGAATAATGATGGCTGCTGTCACTAAGCCAAAAGAACCATTTTTCAATCGATTTTTCTGACGAATTTTTTTATTTAAATATCGACGATATTGTCGTTGGATAACAATGACTGCTTGTATATAATCTCCAGTACTATGGGTATCATTACGTCGTTTTTCCTTTTCTGAATCCTTTCGTTTTTCAAATCTCTTTTTGGCCAAGTAGCAGCGAAATAGCCTTTGAATCAAAAAAACTGCACGTAAATATTCTTTGTCGTATTTTTCCTTGTCAGAACTTATTTTCTTTTGAATTTTATACAGGCGAAAATTTCTTTGAATTATGATGACTGCTTTTAAACAGTTGTGATCGTATATTTTTTGATTTTCCTTCTTTGCTTCAGCTATTGAAGTACAATCATTTAAAGGAATCATGGTACTTGAAATGCTGTTATTATTCTGTACTTCTGCTGCATCAGCGGTTATTGTACGTCCACATTGACAAGTTACCTTTGCTACAGATTTAAATGGCTCTTTGTCCCTCAATGACCCTTCGTATTCCGTATATTTAGTGTATTCAGTAGGTATCGATTTGGCCTCCGAGAGCTTTTGAAAGTATTCCTGTGCGAATATGTAAATATTGTCCGGACTTTCTTTTAGAACTGCCTTAATAAATTGTTTTATTAGCTCTGTAAGGTTTTCCGGAATTATATGAAATACGAGTGAAAGTGGCATCTGCTGTTGAATACGGTTTTTTATCATGCTTTCATATGTTTGTATTGGCTCGTATTTACGCATCACTCGGTTCGATTTTTCGGTAACAATCAAATTAAAAAAATCGGCAGAGAATTTGTATAGGTTTTCAGGCTTTTGACGTAAAACTTCTTTAGCATACATCTTCATTAGGTCCCGTAGTCCCTCAGGAACTCTTGGTAAACTTTTTTCCGTCATATTAAGATGATAGTCTCCAATAACGAACTATTCACATAAAATGTTGAAGGAAAACTAACTAAGGAAATATCCTTGTTGGGGTTGTGCCTAGTGACCTGAAATGTCATGTGTTTCCATACCAACAGCTATTGCCCACACCATACACTGTATGTATAAGTACATAAGTGCACAGTGGGACTATGCACGAAAAAGTTTGAAAAAATAAAGACCGAAAGACCGAAAGACCGGTACGATTTATTGATATCTAATTCTTGGACGTTGACAGCCAATGACTGCATCTTTCAAGAGGCGATGCAGCTACTGCACCGACAAGTGGCCCGTGTGAAACCAGCAGAAGGCTGTTACGCGCGGATCCCAGGCTAACATTCGAGGAAAATTAGCACTAAAATTACTAAGAAACTAAGCATGCAATCAAAATACAAATACCACTACAACTACTAATTACTAGAAAGGTGTGTAAGGATTAGTAATTTAATAAGAGGAAGAGAATTAGTGGTGGATATAATATGGTAGAGGGAAGGGAAGACCCTAAACGGCTCATGCAAGGAATAATTCGATCTACAAAGTGGAAGGAACAACGGTATAAAATTTCTAGTGAGTCTAATAGGAATCGTGAAGATTATGCGGCCCAACAGATCAGGGCTGTCTATGTCACCCCCGATCAAGTTGTGCATAAATATCATACCAAGCATTTTTCTACGGTTAACTAAGGATGGGAGGTTTACTAATAGCAGTCTACTAGGGTAAGATGGGAGTCTCACACTCGGATCCCAGTGAAGGCCCCGCAGTGCAAAGAGTCAACAGTTTTTCTGTTCTGATTCCATACGGCCCTGGTGTACTTTGTACTAAGGGCACCATACGAAGGAGCCAACAAGGGGCAAGAACGATGAAATGTCATGACTTTGCATTTCGAGGCATTAAGGTGTAACAAGTTTGTACAACACTATGACTGAAAGTTATTAAGATCGGATTGCAAGCGAGAATGAAATGAAATGTCCTTGCGCTGGATACAGAGTTTAACATCATCCGCATGCATAAGTACTCGAGAGTATGTTAATACCGAAGGCAAGTCATTAATAAAGAGTTTAAGAGTAAGGGGCATAGATGGCTGCCCTGTGGTACTCCCGAAGAAACCTTGACTGGTGAAGAGAGGAAGTTTTTGAAGAGGACTCTTTGAGACTTGGAGCAAAGATAGCTAGAAATCCATCTCAGGAGGTTGGGCGAAAACCCTGAAAGGTCAAGCTTATGCGCTAGAAGGGAATGTATGGCGTCTCCAACGGGGCCCCTTAAGACTTCGGGCAGGACCAGAGTGAGAACAATAGCTGTTCCAACTGAAAGCTGTCGTCACGTAGCTCTTTCTTACATAGCTTCTGATGATATATTTTATACTCGGTTATTAATGGACCTGTGAGTGGTTCCTGATAGTGCTTACCGCACTATCCTTGTAGTCCTTGACAACACTAAGAATCAAATTCGTCAGACGAGGGATCGCAAGCCACGCCTAATGACTGTCTGACGTCGCCCTTACATCAAATGTGATATAGGACTTAAATATAGGAGACTTAAAGATCAAATCATCTGCTAATTATTAATCGAAAAATACCAATCTTCCGTATCGAATGTTAAAGTTACCTGGCTATGCTATCCGTAATTATGGAGACAGGAATAGCAGGGGTAATGGGCGCATAGTCCGAAGCTGTTCATTAAAAGCAAATGTTCACGCTGGATCCGTAGAGCTGATCTGACGAGTTCTCGTTCGGTTAGGTGGTGATTTCTACCGCAAACTCGCGTTAAAATCTCGAGTTTAAAAGAAGTTTGTGCTTAGCTTCTTTATTTATTGGTGATAAAAGGAGGATAATAGATTTCGAAAACATACTAGATAAGAAAATTCCATTGCCAGTTGAACCGCAGCTTTGGTTTGCCCAGCAATAAGATACTTTCTGCTATGGTTGAATTCATCCATGATGATTTAAACATAAATGATTTAAATATTTTTTAATAATGCCAGTATTTAATGTAAGGAAAACATGTATTGGTTTACACTTTAGTTGTACGAGTATATGTAAATATTAAAATTTCAGCTAATTTTCTCTAGGTGTACATATGTAGGTTGGGGCTTCATTACAGTCCTGGAACTCCTCATAGAAGCGTTGGGATGTTTCAAAAACATCCTTCATCTAAAGACACTAACAATGATGGACACCACAATGGGCGGATTTGCATACAACTGACCTTGACCTGGGTTGACCAGCCCAACTAATGGTTTCTTACCTAATCTATGCCATTTTAAGTCGTGTTCCCTAAATGCTAAGTTGCCAAGCCTTGTTTAAATGTTCGATACCACGATATACATATGTATTTATGTATGTCGGCAAAAATTCTGAAGTATTTTGGTAGATTTGGGAGGTGTTTTTAGATTTGTAACATATTGTACGAGGCGTTTTCGACCACATCAAGTATATATTAATTGTCGATCCGGCCTTTATTTAGTTAGTTGAATATTTGAGTCATCTTCATTTACTTCCACAATACGACATATAATTGGTATATCATCATAGCGAGATTTATCACTTACAAACGAACTCAAATCTTTTTGAATAATATTGTATTTAAGTTTTTTCCATTCACGACATTTGAGAAAGTGGGAAAATATAGATTCCCTTGATGGGATAGTACAATCCAGATAAAACAATCGACGCTGCCAAATGTTTCCTGGGTTTTGGTTGTTTTCCAATAAGAAAGATCTAGGAAGCACTAAACACTGAACTCTGGATCGCGCCATTATTACACGAAGCTTCATGTTCTCTCCCAATCCAATTATTGCTCCAAATGTAAGTTTTCCAACATCAATAAAATGGCTTTCATATTTTTTAAGCTGAAATTACATATTTATACAATATAGCTAGTTTATGTTTTGTATCATTGAAGATAATATCGTCTCAAGGAATATGGTTCTTTTAGGATCTAACGGAAGACAGATTAACAATACAATAAATACAACACAAAATACCAGGAACCTATTTAGATTCCTGTAGCTCGTTTTACGTATACTTAAAGAATTCAAAAATAAATCTTAGAACCCATTTGGGTGTACTATTAAATAAGAGAGATTCAGTAAGATTCCCTTATCAAAACCTTCCCTCCTGCATACCGGGCACGGGGAAATGGATTAATCGGCTCTGACATGTGTATTATATACTAAATTTACTTTACTACGTTAAAATCGCAGCCTTCTTCTTCTTAAATCTCATGTCACGAATACAAAATACTTTACGAATACCGGATATACTATAAGCACTACTATGATTGATCGACTTACCACAGGCTTGAGTGATTTGTTAGTTTTTTGTTCCACTATACCAGAATTGTAACTATCAAAAATGTCTCCTACATTTTTATTTAGAGAACATTTACTAGTCAGCTGACTGGTGTTTGATGGCGTTTTCATAGTATTCATGAAAGAAATACCTTCCTCAGATTCATCTATTAGATGAAAAATCTTTTTTCCATTTTTTAAAGTGACCTAAAATGTGCACAAATAAGAAATCGCTATGTTTGTTAAAAGCTAATTTTAGTTTGATACCGTCATATTTAGGCATTGAAGTAAAAGACATTCTCCACTAAGCACAAATTGGACGTTTGTTATGGTGCCTTTATCCTCATAATATATTGTCTCCAATGGTTCATATTGCTTAATAGTCCCGATTCTGCAAGCAGTAACGATCTACACCAAACATAAGTATATACAAAGTTTGTCTGATAAAATAACACGTTTCACTTGCTTGATCATTGTCGAGAAATTTAAAGTAGTCCAGTGCCCTTAGGGCTCTTTTCTTCTCATCCCAAAGCTCCATTAGTGTGCTAATCGCTGTTAGTTCATCGTAGAATATTTCAGTAAGCCCGCAATGCGAAACAAAGTTGAACGTTCAATACTCGCTGCTATTAGCGACTGGAGGCATGCATCTGTTTCCAAAGATTGGCAAGCTCTATATAACAGGCCAAAAAATACAAAGTACGTCAAAACGCTGTACTCCAGAATCCGACTATTGGATACCTACCTTTTTGTAAACTATATATTAAAAAATTGAAGAACGAGTCTAAGGGAATTCAAATATTTTTTAAATCAATTTTGTTTGCAAGAGTAGAAATAATAACATTCAACATATAAACATATATAACATATAAACCAAGTGAGCATTAAACATGCCATTTTTCACACGGCTTTAGAATCCGAAGAAAAATATGCACTTTATGGGGTCAGAATGGTTTACTTAGGTTACAAACTTAAGTGTTACAAACACTTGAACGAAAACATTAAACTACTAGTACCTGGTAAAAACATACAATAAAATAAAACCAAAGAAATGTTGTTTAGGGCAACCTATATTTGACGGAATAGGCTTGGAGTCACGCTTGCACGTGATGGTAGGCGACGGAGTATTCAATCGAATTAGGACCTAACGTTGTTTATTGCTGATTAAATTGATGGGTACATGGATTTCTAAATGAAGCAACAGAAACACAAAGTCGAAGAAGTATATTTATTTATTTATATCGCGTGCTTAGGTTATTCATTACCATTCATTATGACATGCTCCACAAATATCGCATTTACTTTATTCATTTTCTTATCATCTTTAATTTCCTTTTATTGGTCCAATTATATTTGCATTAAATTGTATCCTGGGTCCCACATATTCAAACTTGCATTAACTAGGAAAGATTTCCTTTGGGCCTTAAACAAGCGATTTTGCAAACGACTTTAAGAACCTTAATAAAATAAAATTAACAGCAGTTTGTTGAAGCTGGTATGAAGCTTAAGAGACAAAGAAGTTGTTTTCCAAAATAACTTTTCCCGGTCGTTATCTCGACCATTATTCTTTGTTTGTCTTGCAAACATCTGGCCCAAATCGTGGTACTCGGCTAAAACCAAAAAAAGAAAATAAAGTGAGATGCAGTATTTGTGGAGCATGTCAAATGTGTGCAACACAAAATGTGTTTATTTATTTACGCCGTGAGCATAAAGTTAAACGAGCGGTAACGTTGTGAGTTGCTGCTACGGCCGCAACTCTACATTTATACCCGATACTTAGGCATTATGGCTCCGCGTACATTGATTGACAAACAGTGCCTGCGAGACAGACAGAAAAACAGTCGGAACCTTTCGTCGGGCGACGCGTAGAGACCGAAAATTTATTATTACCATTGGCTATAATAATAGTCCGATCTGATCAAGGTTCGGCAATCTGGTAGATATAGTCATTCTCTATGATTGTGCGTTCTTAATTTTCTCGTACCTTCAAAATTGTGGGTGGCACAAATTTTCGACATCGGTGGGTCGGAAAGGGGTGGGCGAAATTTTGAAATATACTTGTAACAGTAAGATCTAACGGGAGGATACCAAATTTGCTCTAGCCTTAATAGCCTCTTAATCTAATACACAAATCTAATACGAGTATACCCCTACAATCAATTTGAGTATCGGGTATAAAAACTCAAGCTGAAGGCGAAAGAGGCACCCGTAGCTACCATTGCGTTTGCCTGCATTACAAAATATAAGCACGCGATATATAGGGATGTAAATAAATTTTTTTTTGTCTCTTTTGCAAATACCTACATATTTCCGCCTTTTTAACTAGTAACAAACAACGTTAAATCGTTATTCGATTCAATCAAAATAAATACAGAAGTACACGTTGGGCTCTCAGTCTACACGGTCGCTTTGGAACATCAGGTTGCAGAGCATATGTTAAAGTTGCTCCAGACCAAAGTTGCTTTAGTTTTACACTGTTGTCTATGCCACAATATCAACCAAAAGCTTCAGATTTATAACTTAATATATTCCGGGGTCTTAAATCCTCTGAAAATCTTGGTAAGCATCAATAGCCGAGTCGATGGATCCATGTCTGTCGGTCCGTCCGTCCGTCTGTCCCTCTGTCCGTCCCTATGAGCGCCTAGTGCTTAGAGACTATAAGATCTGGAGCAACGACGTTTTGTATCCAGACTTCTGTGATATGTCACTGTTACAAGTGTATTTCAAAATTTCGCCCCACCCTTTGCCGCCACCGCCATCTTTAAAATTGTGGATCCCACAAATTTTCAACATTGGTGGGGGCGAAAAGGGGTGGAGCGAAATTTTATTATTATTCTTTTCAAAATCGCGATGGTTTTTTAAATTTGTTTTTTAAGCTTGCATTTTTTCACCTAACTTGGAATTGCTACATTGTGAAAAACTTTCGTTGCACGAACCTTGGGACCCTTTCTTTTGAGTGATTTTGAAAAAATACATTTTTTGATCAAATCGTCACTTCAACCTCGTTAACGGGGTTACATGCATTTCTACATGAATTTTACTCGGCGTTAGCACACCAAGGTGCCATAAACAGTAGATATTTTCTTCACGTTATCGATACAAAGGGCCCATCTCCAAGAAGTTGCTAGGTGTGAAACCTAGAGAGGGATCAAATCGATCGAGCTATTAAAACAACTTAACTAATTTAACGAGCTCACAGAAAAAAAATGAGCAAACCAACTTGTTTAGTAAATCAAACAATTTTGTTTAACCCATTTTTTAATCCATTAACCCATTGAGGGCTTGAAATTTTGATATGTTTGCCTTGGGGACCATAGTAGTTAAAAGAGAACAAAATTACAAGTCATAAACTAATGACTCGATGGACGAACGATGGTTCGAATCGGTAAAGGAAATTCGAAATTGATTTTGGCCGCTACTAACGAATTCGTTAGACGCAGCTATGGGAAATGCATGGAAATTCATCATCGTCGACATCACAGCTAGTGCGCTATGACCAGGTTGATCATAGAATTGATAAATGCGATGGAAAACCGGAATATAGCTGTTTGAGATGCCGGATATGCCTGCATCCCAGTACCTGCTTCCGGGACTGTAACATTGGAGTTGAACCAGATTTGACAAAAAAGGCTAAGGCTGTTTAACAAACAAACCTTAAATATAATAAGTATATATGTATATATCGAGGGCTGCTAATTATATTACGGGAATAGTAAATAAGAACCAAAACTTTTATCTTTCATCTTGGAACACCCACACGATTGCTTTTTAGTTTCCTGCTCATACGCATATATCCATGATTCATCACATATCACGAGTTTATAAACGTCTTTTGAAGCATTTCCTTCCTCCAATCGACGCGAGCCAACGAAAAGACAACTTTTTTACAACTAAGTGCAATGTGCAAGGATGCCTCTATCTTACGATATGTCACATGTCGATCTTGCACTATCAGTTCACGCACACCATCGATGTTTTGTGACAACTGATTTTAGACGACCTTCACGGAACTTGTCATCGACTGCACTACGACCACGATTAAATTCTGTAAACCAGCGATAAATGGTCATTTTTAATGGTGGTTTCCCCACGTCGAAAGTTCTGAAAAATAATACAATGAAAACCCTTTCGAGAAATTTCCATTATTTTGCCAAATTGATTTTTTTAACTGATTGAAAACCAAACAAAAACCAATTTTACATAAAATCGTTGTACGTACAAATATGCTTAAAAATGACAAAGTTTATTATGGACTTGTCAGATTTTACGTATTGACATTAGTATTGCAAATTACCGAAATATAAATAGCAGCCCTCGTATATGTATGTATATATAAATATTTTCTATATGTCCAAAATATAGTAACATAAAAGTTATATTAATTAAATAACCCTTTTATTCATTATGCTTATGAATATATTAAAGTCAAAAGAAGTTTTTCCATATAGAACAAAAATGGTAGTTTAGGTTGCCCGCAGTTCAAATTTCGTAATTTTCACGGGTATTTTAATACCCATTGGTCCGTAATGGGTTAATATTTAGAGATGGAATTTTTAAACTAGCGCCAAGTTCGACATTCACTGGAAAAAGTTAGTCTTGGCTCAGAGTTGCTTGGAATGTGTGAATGGTATCGTTTTCCATTTGTTTTACAATTGCTTTAGAATGCATTTATTAGTTTTTCTAATTATTGCTGTATAAATAAAAGTAATCCAATGTAGGATGGAGTCAAACTTGAAAAGAAATTCTTCTACGCCAGAACCTATGGTAAGTATATTAAAGAGAAAGAAAGCCACGAAGTAAACAAATAACTTTCTCTTTTTTAGGTGGCTAAATATGCTGTGATGAAACGTGATGAAGGGTCTCCAGAGAAACCGGTCACCAAGTACACAGGCAGTAGTGCCTTGCGACCAATTATGCTATTCTTAGCAGCTATAGCAGTAACTACTTCCGTATTAGTCGCCCTTCCGCGTCCAGTCAAAAACTTCATCTTAAGTTCGCAGAATACATCAAATAGTACCTTGAAAGATCTGCAATCAGGTGCGCCCACTTATGCGATTTTCGGCAAAAGTCATACAGAAGAGCACTTGGTACATGTAGTGAATGTTCTTCATAGATTCGGATACGAAAGGGTTCAATTAAACGAAAGTTGGAATCTCTTGTGGGCCCATGATTATCCATTCCTTTCCCTTCCTAACTTAAAGAACCTTGGCCAGCATCAGAAAGTTAATCATTTTCCGGGCTGTGGATACTTAACAAACAAGGTGGATTTGTGTACAACTTCACTGCCATTTCTTCCTCGTGCATTTAGACTTCCAACACAGAGAGTCGACTTCTTAGAATACGCCCATGCACACCCAGACCCAGATGCACTTTTTGTGGAGAAACACAATGAGCATAGACATATCAAAGTTCGCAAACCAAGTGATATCGATCTCTGGTCAAATGATTCTTTCGTTCAAGAGTTCATACCAAAACCATTCTTGGTGGACGGACATAAATTTGATATCGGCGTTTACGTGGTGATAACTGAGATTAACCCCC